GAGATGTAAAGGTGTGTTAATCTAAGGCTCATACCAGATTGTTTGCCATAAATTCCAAAGGGCTATTGATGTATGAAAAGCATTTTCTATAAAGTAAAAATGTCTTCCTATGTATGCAGATAAACCTTGAAATTTGGCAAAACAGCAAAGTATTTTTCATGATCACTAGGTAATTTTTCTGATGATCATTATAATTTCTAAACTAAATTATTTCAGATTTACATTTAAACGAGCTTTGATCATATGAAAAGATATTTATCATAACCAGTAAGCATGACACATGAACCAATTTAAAGATTCATGTAATTATATAATTAAAGACATGTTGGTTACATTCTGTTTGTATTTGATAATACAATGCTACTAGTGATTGCTATATAGCACACCTTGAAGAAGATAATAGTCAAGTGAAATGCCTAATAAACATTTATGGCATTAAGCTGTCCTTAACTGCAAATTTTCACTCTGATAATTTTTGCTTAATCTTTGGCAGAATAAAATGTTGAGTTTTTTCTCAAAAGGTGAATTTGCTAATACTGATGTGGAGATGGGTAAAGGGTTGCAATAAACTTGCATGGTTTGAAGTCTGAGCTTTTCTATATCTATGACCTGTCACTTGTAGTACCAAATTTCTAACTTAACTCATTACATAGAGGTTTGAATGGGGGTCTCTAGGGGGGTCTATGCCTGACAACTTGGTAGAAATTTTTAAAGGCTATATTTGTTTTTGAATATAGCATTATTGTAAAATAACGTTTACGTTCCTAGACATGCTAATGAGCTATATATTTGGCATGATAATGAGCCTAAATATTTGGCAAAACATTCAAGTATTGTTCACTTCATTTTTTTTTTTGATAAAAACGTAACCAAAATGTGTTGTTTTTACGCAATAACGATGCCCACAAAAAACATTTGTAATACTCTAAAACGCTGAAAATGGCATTTTTAAGGCTCTGAAATTCAAAATTTCTCAGGAGAGATAGCCTCAGACCCCCTCCAGGTGCGGAGCGCCTCCGACGTTTTATGACTGATGTTTGAAAAATCCTAGATCCGCCCCTGTTTGCTGCTACGCAGTATTTATTGAGATAAACAAAGACTTCCAAGTTGTGCTGAGCACTACCGTCTGGTACACAGTACATTTAAATTATTTGTCGTTCACAAAAGGAAAATTTAAGTCATTGATACAGTATTGAACATACGTAATAAACGAACGTTTGGAGTCCGAAAGTGCAACACTGTATACGTTTGTCATGCATATTATCAAATGATATAAATCTTCATAAAAGCACATAAATACCAATCAAATAACTTTAATTGTGATACAATACAAAAAAAATATGGTTAGGTTATGTAGTATATATAAATAAAATGGAATTGAAAGGCATACCTTGGTTTTTATTTTTAACACCAAGAGAATTTCCGACATCTTTAGCATTAGCATCATCACTACTTGTGATTTCTACGAACAATATGTAAAAAAGCGTTATCCACACAAGCTGTGTATTTCTATAATTTCTAATTAGCAGCAATTTTAAAAAACACTTGAGAAAAACGACGATTTTTTTGAGAGCAAACATGTTTCGACATTATCAGAATGCCATCTTCAGTGCATAGTGGTTAGTGTTAAGTAATATGATACGTAATATGATATGAATAAATTAATTACAATGAATAGGATTATGATTCAGTTACTAAATATAAAATATTTACAAAAAAGGAAAAGAAAAATAAGTATTAAGAACTTATAACAAAAAATATTATTATAAAGTAAATATAGTGTTGTAGTGGTGAACTTGGATATTTATATCGGGATTAGTTTTATTAATGTGTGGAGCTTCCTTGATTTTGAGTGAGAAAGTGGATTGATCAGTGTCGATGATTTTAAAACAGGAAGGTGAGAATTTGTTTTTACATGAAGGAGAGGCTTGAAGATGTTTGTAGATAGTGGAGTTTTTGTCTGTGTGAGTATGTTCCTTTATCTATTTCTATTTTGACAACAAGTAAAAAAATGAATTTAAAGCTAGCGCTTGAAAAGAAATAACACAAATAAATTGGAAAGTTTTGGATAGTAGCTTTTTAAAACTACATACTTCATTTCGTTTTGTCCATTAGCTCCAAAATCTCATATAAATATATTACGCACTCTTTTACATGACTGACATTTTCAAGTAATAAAATGACCTTACCATTGGAAATATTGAGGGGGCAGAATATATTTTCACGTAATGAACCAGTTTTCATTAGGCGTAAGATTACCAATAAATGTATATAAACAAACTTCATGAATTATGACTGCCAAAGAGAATTTTGATAAAATACAAGACAATAGACACTCTATATACAGTAAACATCATTTATCTAGATTGAACAATGTTTACTACATACGGAGTGTCTATTGTCTTGTGTTTTACCAAAACTTCATGAAGCAAACAGCAAATGTTTTTTAAAACAAAAATTAAAACAAAACAAAAAACCATGGTATGAATGTAAGTCAAAAAAGAACACTCGAAAAGTGGGTTTAATTATATAGGCTATATAATTTCAAAGTATATATTTTCTGCTGGCAAAAACAGGAGGAGTGAAAGTCAGTCCTTGCAAAACAGAAAGGATGGAAAAAGAAAAGAAAGCTAAGTTTCAGGTCAAATAATACCATATAGCTAATTGATTTTTTACTAACCTCGCCTGCTCGGTCTTTATTAAGAAATCTTGGACCTCTGTTTTTATCACAAACCTCTCCCTAAGGGTCTCGGTCAGTACAAATAAATTCAGTCCGATATTTCTCCGTAAAGACCTCACACTCGGTTTTTAAGGGCGTTGTAATGAATTCAGACATTGATAAGTGTTAATGAACTGTTGTCGCCAATCTCTGTCGAGTATCTTAGTAATTATAAGAAAAAGTTGTTAAAGTCCGTTGCTGTTGACTGTCTATATTGACGATAGGGACGGGGCCGGTGGCTGAATGGTTTTAATTGCGTGAGCTGTAAGCCAGACGGCGCGGGCTCAATCCCGGCTCGTGGCACATCTGGCAATGTGTCTGTAAACCTAGCCCGGGTTGACCAAAGCCATGTGAGGGAAATTTGGTAGAGGAAACTATGTCCTCGGATGGACTGTATCTGCATCTGCAATGTTGCAGCCTTGTCACACTGTGTCACGCTGATATCAGCGTTGTAGTTGCGTGAAAGGTACGAGTGATTGTAGTCTGGTCAGCTGCCTTCACTATAATTTAAGTAACCAGGATGTTCCACTTTGTGGAACCCTCATACGTCGAAATCGACGGAGTCCATTATTATAGTCCATTATATTGACGATAAGGAAACTATTACAACTTTATGCAAATTTATGCCATCTGTCAAAGAACGAAAATTGTAAGCAGACACAGACATTAACACATTTTTAGCGTTGTTGTTTAATTACTGATGGATTCAAAAGAAAAGTTTGGAATTATTTTAAACATACATTATCGTCATACACAGTATATAGATAATATTAAGGATTCTCTGGATTTATATTTTGAAATTTTTTTTAAGCTTTCAACTCGGTGCTTTGAGCCTTCGTCAGAATGTCATAATATATTATTTACAAAGATTTTGTAGACGTTTGGAGCGTCTGATTGGTTGGTTAGTAGTTGAGTTGATAATATTGGATGGTATAAGATGCGTTGTCATGGTTTCGGGTGTATGGATTGCGTTAATGAAATTCGAGTGTTTTATTTTAGTCGTTGTGTTATTAGTTTGCTGTTTTGGTTTTGTCTTTAGTTGTGAATAGATGATGGGATGTCAATATGTCTGTTTATTGTGTTGTTGTCTTTGCTGTACCATGCCTCTTTGAATTCTCGTGCGTGTTTTGTCTGTGCGCGTCCAAGAAGTTGTGTTTTTGTCCAGTCAATTGTGTGGTTCGTATCGTAGGTATGTTCGCGTCGTTTGATGGCATTCTTGTGTTCAGTTCAATTTTCTTGGATGTTTGTCCTATGTACTGTTTGGGGCAATATTTACATGGTATCATGTAGACCGCGTTGGTTGTGTCAAATGTCGTTGTTCGGTCTTTATGTTTAGTGAAGTATGATTTGAGTTGTTGTGTTGGTTTATGTGCGATGTTTATTTTGAATGGTCGGAGTAGTCTTGATGTCATTTCTGATGTTCCGTTTATATATGGTAATGTCACTATTTTTACTGGTTCGTCTGTATCTTCGTTAGGTTTTTCAGTTTGTGGTTTGTTGTGTATTTTGTTTAATACTTTGTTGATAAAGTTTCGTGGGTAATTGTTGTTTATGAATGTAGAGTATAAGTAGTTGCGTTCATTCTTCTTGGCTTCTTCTGTATTGCAGTGTGTTTTAATCCTGTTAAAGAGAGTTCGTATGCAACTAATTTTGTGTTGTGTTGGGTGATTGCTATTAAAGTTGAGTATTTGGTCTGTGTGTGTATTTTTGCGGAATACTTGTGTGTTTAATGTGCCGTCATGTTATCTGGTATGTATAATATCTAGGAAGGTAAGTTGTTTGTTCTGTTCTTTGTCCATGGTGAAGGTTATGTTCTGCGTGGTGTTGTTTATTGTGTGTAGAATGTGTTCTGTCTTGTCTTTTTCGACGATAGCAAAGATGTCGTCAACAAATCTTCTCCATAGTCTGATGTGTGTGTTGTTGGTGACTGACTGCTTTTCAAGGTGTTGCATAACAGCTTCTGCAAGGAAGGTGGATAAAGGAGAACCCATTGGTGTTCCTGAGATGTGTCGGTAATATGAATTTTGGAAGGAGAATTCAGTGGAGAGGCAGAGCTTGAGCTGGTCGATGATATCGTCTTGGTCTAGTTTGATTGTGATTTTCCATGAGTTGTTGTTAGTAAGTAGTTCGTTTGTGACTTTTTTGGCTATGTTTAGTGGTATGGATGTGAAAAGTGACACTACATCTTAAAATATCATGATTTCGTCTGGTTTAAGTTTTGCATTTTTAATATTGGTGAGGAAAGTTGTGGCATTTTTGACAGCATGATGTGATGATTTGACTAGTGGGTGCAGAATATTAGAAAGATATTTTGATAGTTCATACGTGGGAGATCCAGGAAGAGATACGATTGGTCGTAGCGAGTTGCTTTCTTTGTGAATCTTTGGTAGTCCATAGAATTTGGCGGTGGAGGAGTCGTTGGGTGGGATTCTTTTGTAAACGGTTTCGTTAAGTTTCTTTTTGCCTTTAGTTGTTTTAATTTCTTGTTGATGTGGTTGGTAGTGGTTTTATTGGGGTCTGTTTGTAGAGGTTCATACGTGTTGGTGTCTTGTAAGAGGGTCTTCGCTTTGTTGATGTAGTCTGATTTGTCCATGATTACAGTTTTGCGTCCTTTGTCGGCTGGTAGTATGACTATGTCTTCGTTGTTTCGTAAGTTTCTGATGGCTTTTTGTTCTTCGTTGTTAAGCGTGACTGGTCTTTTGAGGCAGAGGTTTGTTGTTACTTTGTGGCGAATGTCTTCTTTGATTTCATCACTTAAGTTGGTGAATTTCAGTGTGGATTCTAGATCGGCAACGAAGTCTAGTTTGTTGGCGTCTTTGATGTTGTAATTTAAGCCTTTGCTTAAAATTTTAGTCGGCTGTACGGTGAGTGGTTTGCTTGATATGTTCTTGACCCATGAATGCGTGTCGGTGTTAATTTCCTTAAATGATCTCGATTTTTGTAGTTTTCGTTGGAGTTCGTTGTGTCGTTTTGTTCGATACGCGTTTGTTGTTTCTTTGATGGTTTCGTCAATGTATTTGGCATCTGTTTGTGTGATGTGATTCTTAACAGATTCTCGATGTTGGTTTAATTTTCGTCTGTAGATTCGTAAGCGGTTGTGAGCGTCAGATATGAGGATGTTCAGCATACGTCGGCCGTTTGATTGTGCTATTTGTTGGGCATAATTCGTTTTTATTGGTGGTTGGTAGTTGATACTGTTCAGTAGGATTCGCTGTTGTTTGCAGTTGTGTAGGAAGTGTAGTTGCTCCAATGTCGATATTTCTTGTCGATATTCCGAACTAGACCAAGACGATATCATCGACCTGCTCGAGCTCTGCCTCTCCACTGAATTCTCCTTCCAAAATTCATATTACCGACAAATCTCAGGAAAACCAATGGGTTCTCCTTTATCCACCTTCCTTGCAGAAATTGTTATGCAACACCTTGAAAGGCAGTCAGTCACCAACAACACACACATCAGACTATGGAGAAGATTTGTTGACGACATCTTTGCTATCGTCGAAAAAGACAAAACAGAACACATTCTACACCCAATAAACAACACCACACAGAACATAACCTTCACCATGGACAAAGAACAGAACAAACAACTTACCTTCCTAGATATTCTACTTACCAGATCACATGACGGCACATTAAACACACAAGTATTCCGCAAAAATACACACGCAGACCAAATACTCAACTTTAACAGCAATCACCCAACACAACACAAAATTAGTTGCATACGAACTCTCTTTAACAGGATTAAAACACACTGCAATACAGAAGAAGCCAAGAAGAATGAACGCAACTACCTTTACTCTACATTCATAAACAACAATTACCCACGAAACTTTATCAACAAAGTATTAAACAAAATACACAACAAACCACAAACTGAAAAACCTAACGAAGATACAGACGAACCAGTAAAAATAGTGACATTACCATATATAAACGGAACATCAGAAATGACATCAAGACTACTCCGACCATTCAAAATAAACATCGCACATAAACCAACACAACAACTCAAATCATACTTCACTAAACATAAAGACCGAACAACGACATTTGACACAACCAACGCGGTCTACATGATACCATTTAAATATTGCCCCAAACAGTACATAGGACAAACATCCAAGAAAATTGAACTGAACACAAGAATGCCATCAAACGACGCGAACATACCTACGATACCAACCACACAATTGTCTGGACAAAAACACAACTTCTTGGACGCGCACAGACAAAACACGCACGAGAATTCAAAGAGGCATGGTACAGCAAAGACAACAACACAATAAACAGACATATTGACATCCCCATCATCTATTCACAACTAAAGACAAAACCAAAACAACAAACTAATAACACAACGACTAAAATAAAACACTCGAATTTCATTAACGCAATCCATACACCCGAAACCATGACAACGCATCTTATACCATCCAATAATATCAACTCAACTACTAACCAACCAATCAGACGCTCCAAACGTCTACAAAATCTTTGTAAATAATATATTCTTACATTCTGACGAAGGCTCGAAGCACCGAGTTGAAAGCTTAATAAAAATTTCAAAATAAAAATCCAGAGAATCCTTAATATTATCATAATATGCTTGGGCTACCAATTTTCAAATAAAGTATATATATATATATATATACAAAGTGTATAAACAATGTGCCCTCCCGGCTATCACCAAAGTGCAATGGTGATATTGATAATATATATATATATATATATAATGGGATTTTGTGATAGAAACACAAATATTGATAATATATATATATATATATAATGGGATTTTGTGATAGAAACTATCGCAAACAAAATCGCACGGATAGAGTGCTCAATGCTACGGCAGAGCGGTATAATTGAAAATAAAATAATAAACCACGAATTACTTCATCAAAATTAATTTATAAATTTCGATGAAGTAATGCGTGGTTTATTATTTTATTTTCAATTATATATATATAACTACGCATAACTATTGAAGCAAACAAAAAAATCATCAACTTCCTCGACATCACCTTCAATCTTAACAATTTTTCATATCGCCCTTACACAAAACCCAACTCTTCTCTGCAATACGTCCACAGCGAAAGCAACCATCCACCAACCATAACGAAGAACATACCCGACGCCATCAACAAACGTCTATCTTCACTATCATCCGACAAAGCATCATTTGACCAAATAACTGCACCATACCAAAAAGCACTCGACGAAAACGGATACCGATACACACTAAAATTCGACTCAGACGCTACTACCAAACGGAAAAACAGACTTCGACAAAATATACTTTGGTACAACCCTCCATTCAGCAAAACGTCTACACGAACATCGGCCACAAATTCCTTTCATTAATCGACAAACACTTCCCCATAGACCATAAACTCAGGAAAATATTCAACCGTAACACCATCAAACTCAGCTACAGCTGCATGAACAATATCGAACAAATAATCAACAACCATAACAAACATATACTGAGAACATCAGACAAAACTAACGACAACACCGCGAACAAAAGACACTTACAAAACATGCAACTGCCGACAAAACAAAACTGCCCACTTAACGGAAATTGCCTGCAGTCATCCGTTGTTTACCAAGCTACTGTAAAACGCAAAGACAATAACACAACTGAGACGTACATTGGACTTACAGAAAACGAATTTAAGACTAGACATAGAAATCACACTGCCTCTTTCCGCCACAAAAAACTACGAAACTCGACCGAGCTCAGTAAGCACATTTGGACCCTTAAAGACAGCAATATCGACCACGACATCTCATGGAACATCATTACACACAGCAAACCATACAACAGCACCAGTAAAAGATGCAACCTTTGCCTTAAAGAAAAATTCTTCATCCTGTACCAACCATCCAAATCATCCCTCAATAAACGCAACGAACTTATTTCCTCTTGTCGCCATAGATCCAAAACACTCCTATGTAATTTGTAACCATACACCGTAATTAATACTCTAACTTCCGTCATCTAACTTGAAACTATACACCTTGATTAATACACTAGCTTCCGTCATCATCTTGTATATATATTTAAGCATTTAAGTATTTTATTCATTAAATCCCTGAAGAGTGAGCAATCACGAAACAGGCTTGTCGGGATGAAATTGTAGTTTTGTGTATTTTCTTCTCCTTACCAATATTTACGCTCTGCTCTCGGGCATCGAGCACTGTTTTATACGGAAAATCATAAATTATAAACTTCCTATATATATATATATATATATATATCCATATATATATATTGATAATAAGAAGAAAATACACAAAAACTACAATTTCATCCCGACAAGCCTGTTTCGTGATTGCTCACTCTTCAGGGGATTTAATGAATAAAATACTTAAATGCTTAAAATGCTTAAATGCTTACCCTCTGCTCTCGGGCATCGAGCACTGTTTTATACGGAAAATCATAAATTATAAACTTCCTATATATATATATATATATATATATATATATATATATATACATACATTCAAAAGTTTCCTAAAGAATATGCAAGCACCCAAAAGCGTAGAAAATCGACGAATTTCGTTCCTAAACAGAGCAAATGAATGGTTGCTTAATTAATAGCTACTTAGAAGTTCGAATTCATTTCTCGTTGTCGATTCTTTCCTTTAATGTATATGGAATCCTTGCCGAATCACTCAATTTGTTAAGAAGGCTGCCTTTCACTACGGAGTCGCGGCAGTTAAGAGAGTTCGGTCAAACATAGAAATTTTATCGCGATATATGGCTTGTTTACTCCTACCTCGGCGCTATTCTTTCATTAAACAATCAACTCGTCGTCGCAAGCTTTTGTCAGTTATAAAATGAAATTGAACTGTATTCCTGAAAAATAGATGAGCGTGAAGAATAAAGAAAGAAAGGAGTGATCGCTACAATATTTTTTAATTATTAAACAAGAGCTGCAAGGGATCTAAGAATTGAAAAAATCATCTGCAACACCTTTATAAAGTTAGAGAGACATGCAGGAAACATAATGACTGGAATTGCTATAATAATGTTTGGTATCAATGTCAGTCACGCTATGTCAATGTAGTTTCAATAATTTATTAGTAGCAAAATAGCAGTTAAATATTTCATACAGACCATTTGATAATATATAGACACATGTTTTGTCAAGCATTTGCTATCTTTATTGCTCAAATTATTTATTTACGTTTTATACTAAGCAACTTGATAAAACTAGATCTCAGCAAACAAATAGATTATAGATCTAATTTTAACTTGTAATAAAATTTTTACTTTCGCTCCTGTAATTAATATCTGTGACATGTATAAATGACATAATATTTTCTTGCTGTAAAAAGTAATACACTGAAAATGGCATAAGCATGCTGAAATATGTCTGTTTTAAAATCATCCTGATTTATTTCCAATGTTTGTCAATTTTTCAGTCTATGATTTTTTGAATACATAATTTTCACAGAGCTGGGTTTGATGCAATAAAAATTTTTCTAAGATGTCAAAGACTCAAAGTGTGTTTAAATTTTGATGCGCATATATTATAAGATGATATTTAAATGTATGCTTTAATTCTATGAGTCACTTTGAAATAGACACCAGGTATATGGAATATTATTATCTCTAAATTGGTGCAGTGTTGTATTTGAATCTTACAACTAACAACGAGTTTATAGCTGTTATATATCTTGAGCAATGTTTGTTTGATTAAAATGTTTTGTTTCCATCTCACTGTTCTTTAGAGTGAGATTTATGTATATGTTTTTAGTTTATAGGTAGATTTTTGAATTATTCTTTTTGTTGATTAATGTAAATATGAATCCCAAATGCATTTTAATTATTGCTTTGTCTCTTTTCTTTCTGTACAACCAAAATAAATAACCCAGTCCTCACATGAAACAATTTTTATGTCAATGAACCACTTAAATCTAGGACTTTGAATTCATTATGGCCAAAGTTTTTTGTATTATACGATGAAGTTAGTATGTATTCTTAGCCGACTGAAACATATTAAAAGCCATTAATAAGATGGCTTCACGGATCTCAAATAATTGGAGTTAAACACGAAAACATGAATTAAATTTTGACATTACTATTATTTGATGATATAGAGGTAATATAATCCAATAACTTTCTAATTTCTAAAAAGCTTTTAAGGTTCTAGCATAAAAGTACACTATTGGTATGTAATTCATTTGGTTTTATTGCCTTGCTATGACATATGTACTTGCACTTCATCATTCTTGTATGAACAAAACACCAGATGTGGATACTCAGAGAACAAAATGCACTACCAACTGCTTATGAAATTTATTATTGAGGTAAAAAACTGTGTTAATCATTCAAATTATAGTGCACTTTTATTGCAAATATAGGAAACACAAAACAAAGTGAAAAAGAAGTGTAGAAGTATTAAAACTACAATTGAATTATAAACACCATTGGAAGCATAAGTGTTTTGATGATTATTTGCATTTTACCCAATTCATATATCAATACAACAAAATCAAAATGTGCTACAACTTTACAAGTATTTGATGCAGTTGCACTTCAGAACATCACAAAAAGGTTACATAAAGTAATTTCTATACAATATTGTTTGCTTTCATTTACCAAACCTATGCAGACTTGAGTCTTTTTGAAATTTCATATGAAACTCAATTACAGAAAATTCGTAAATATCCAGAGATTTAATATGTACTTTTTTAAAGAAACAATTAAAAATCCTACAATTGTGGCGAAAAAAGCCATTGCCCATTGCATGAAAAGAAGCAAAATAGCAATAATAACAAATAAGCTGACTTCTCTCTCGTGAACCGTGGAGATGAACTATGATTTACTTTTTTTGTATAGACTAAAGAGTTTAATCGATGAAACAAGTTTGACGCTGGTAAGAAGACGACGCACATCTGCATATTCATACATGTGTAGCCGAAATATAGGTCTTTCGTCGATAGTTATAAATGCATCCTCGTAGGAGCAGATAACTGACAACCACAGTTGACTTGCTGTTATGAATTTAAGGTTTTTACCTTGATTTTCATCAAAAAATTGCTTGCCGAATCCCAAATACACACAAACATTTTCCTCACTCTTTCCTCAGGAGGGAGTGGGAAATTGTGAAATTTTCGGAAAAGCGGTCAATTTCGGTAAATCTCAGCGGCAAAGGACGAAATCCGCCATTTTTTTGGCGTCATCAGATATCTAAGGCCGCGCTTGAGATAGCCGCTCCAGTTATTATAGAACTCAATGGTTGTGACAACAACAACACGTAGCCGTCATCAATCTGAGTGCGACGTTTTAGCAAAGAAAGTAGGTATATTTTTTCATTGTGTAAGAAATTAGTTTACAGTACTACTTTCGATCATCCAGGCTTTCTTAAAGAACTATTTTTGAGCTCAGATGTACATTTAAAACGAAAATATGACTTGCAAAACTTCCATGTATGTCGTACGCAAAGTGAATAGTAAACAAACAATAAAATAGTACAAATATATCGCGCATAAAATTTGAAATAGTGAAGATTTCTCAGTCTAAAAAGTCCTATATTCTCGCAAAATCAGTATTACTCAATCTTTGATATCATTATTTACAAGTAGAGCCGTAGCTGCTTCGCAAACTTCTGTGTTTTTCACAATGAAAAGCTCGTTCTTTTGTTTACAGTAGGGAGTTTTAGCAAGAGTACGACTACGACAACGAGTACAAAGTTTGACCGTGTAAGAGAATGAAACGAGGAAGTTTTTTGTCGTTGTCGCTTCGTTAAAATATTGTTTTAGTTGTAAACAACAGAACAAGCCTTTTTGTTGTGTAAAACAACGACGTTTGCGAAGCAGCTACGGCTCTATTTGTCAATAATGATATCAAAGAATCGATAATACTGGTTTTGCGAGAATATAGGACTCTTTAGACTGAAAAATCTTCACTATTTTAAGGTTTATGTACGATATATTTGTACTATTTTATTGTTTGTTTACCTTTCACTTTGCGTACGAAATACATGAAAGTTTTGCAGGTCATATTTTCCTTTTTAATGTATATCAAGCGCTCAAAAGAGGTTCTTAATTAAAGCCTGGATGCTCGAAAATAGTACTGTAAACTAATTTCTTACAGAATGAAGAAATAAACCTACTTTCTTTGCTTAAAAAGACATCGTAGTCGCGACTACGAATTTTTTACAAAACATCGTACTCAGATTGATGACGGCTACGTGTTTTTGTTGTCGCAACAATGTTTTCGCGCCAATATGACGTAAATCGTACTCACAGTCGTAGTCGTAGTCTTTGCTAAAGCTCCCTAGTTTACAACGCGACAACGACAACAAACTTCCTCGTGCCACTTCCTTACACGGTCAAACTTCGTACTCGTTATCGTGTATACGATATCGTACTCCTGGTAAAGCACTTTAATTACAAGTTACAACAACACCTGTTTTTGAGACGTCAATGCAGAAAGCTTCATCGTCAAGAGTTACACATTTTCAAGCTTATTTTAATAATCGAAGTGTCCAACATTTAGTACAAGAACGGCAGAATACATTTGATTACTATTAATAATCATTATGGCTGTCAGCGTTAACAAACTTCGTTGATGAACTTTATGACCAAATTGCGTCCTCCAAAGATTTATTGGGGAAAATTTGTATTGATAGTTATCATTTTGACACTTTTGCCAAATTTTGCGGAATAAAACGCGTTTTTCGACACAAAATTTAACAATACTAATGCTCCATGCTGGTATTTGTTTATAGTAATATAATAAAGTAGCAAGGTGGAAACATCTTCTGACGTTACGATCAATTTTTAAAATTCTCATCCGGTGGCAAAATTTAGCGTTAAAATTAAACAACTCACACAAAACCAAAAATGCTCAAACATACACTAAAATGTTTTTAAGAATCTACATTTTTCAATTGGCAAAAAAAAGATGGGATGAAATTTGGCAGGAGTTGTGCTTTAACAAAATATCATTAACGCAAAAGAGCCACCAACATTATGTTGTATATAATACCTACAAACTTACCAAAATTTTTTGATGACAGAGAAACATGAGCATGACTTGGAACTGGAAATATACTCTGGGACTCATATTTTTCAGTTTCTTCAATGAAATGCGTATGGTCTTCACCTGCCACATTCAGTTTTCGAACTTCTAGAGATTTTTCAAAAATTCTTTTAGCTTTGTCGTGTTTTCCGGTTTTATTATAAAGCAAACCGAGATGGTCTAAAGATGCAGCGACATCAATATGATTTGGACTTAAAGATTGTTTTCGAATTTCCAGTGCTGTTTTGTAAAACTCTTTAGCTTTGTCGTACTTTCCAGTTTTATCAAACACCAAACCAAGATTATGTAAAGACGCAGCGACATCAACACGATTTGGAACTAACGATCGTTTTCTAATTTCCAGAGCTTTTTCATAAAACTCTATGGCTTTGTCGTACTTTCCAATATCATAATATACCAAACCAATATTGTTTAAAGACTGAGCAACATCAACATGATTTGTACCTAACGACTGTTTTCGAATTTCCAAAGCTTTCTTGTGAACCTCTAAAGCTTTGTTATAGTTTCCAGTTTTTTTAAACACCAAACCAAGATTATTTAAAGACGCAGCGACATCAACATGATTTGGACCTAACGATTGGTTTTGAATTTCCAGAGCTTTTTCGTAAAACTCTATAGCTTTGTCGTGCTTTCCAGTTTTATCAAACACCAAACCAAGATTATGTAAAGAGGCAGTGACTCTCACATGATTTGGACCTAACGATTGTTTTCGAATTTCCAGAGCTTTTTTGTGAACTTTTATAGCTTTGTCGTAGTTTCCAGTTTCATAATACACCAAGCCAAGATTGTTTAAAGACTGAGCAACATCAACATGATTTGGACCTAAAGATTGTTCTCGAATTTCCAGAGCATTTTCGTGAAACTTTATAGCTTTGTCGTAGTTTCCAGTTTCATAATACACCAAGCCAAGATTGTTTAAAGACTTAGCAACATCAACATGATTTAGACCTAACAATTGTTCTCGAATTTCAAGAGCTTTTTCGTGAACCTCTTTAGCTTTGTCGTAGTTTCTAGTTTTTTTAAGTACAGTACCAATATTGTTTAAAGACGCAGCGACATCAACATGATTTATTCCTAACGAATGTTTTCGAATTTCTATAGCTTTTTCGTGAACCTCTATAGCTTTTTCATAGTTTCCTGTGTTTTTTAACACCAAGCCAAGATTATTCAAAGACGCAGCGACATCAACATGATTTGGACCTAACGATCGTTTTCGAATTTCCAGAGCTTTTTCATAAAACTCTATGGCTTTGTCGTACTTTCCAATATCATAATATACCAAACCAATATTATTTAAAGACTGGGCAACATCAACATGATTTGGACCTAACGATTGCTCCTGAATTTCCAGAGCTTTTTTGTGAACTTCTATAGCTTTGTTGTAGTTTCCAGTTTCAAAATACACCAAACCAAGGTTGTTTAAAGATGGAGCGACGTCAACATGATTTACACCTAACGATTGTTTTCGAATTCCTAGAGCTTTTTCGTGAACCTCTATAGCTTTCTCGTAGTTTCCAGTTTTATTAAGCACAATACCAAGATTGTATAAAGACGCTGCGACATCAACATGGTTAAAGCCTAACGATCGTTTTCGAATTTTCAGAGCTTTTTCGTGAACCTCTATTGCTTTATCGTAGTTTCCAGTTTTATTAAACACCAAACCAAGATTGTTTAATGTATCAGCAACTTCAACATGATTTGGACCTAACGATTGTTTTCGAGTTTCTAGAGCTTTTTCGTAAAACTCTATAGCTTTGTCGTAGTTTCCAGTTTCATAATGCACAATACCAAGATTGTATAAAGACGCAGCGACATCAACATGATTTGGACCTAACGATTGTTTTGAATTTCCAGAGCTTTTCGTAAAACTCTATGGCTTTGTCGTAGTTTCCAGTGTCATAATACACCAAACCAATATTGTATAAAGACTGAGCAACATCAACATGATTTGGACCTAACGATTGTTTTCGAATTTCCAGAGCTTTTTCGTGAACCTCTTTAGCTTTGTCGTATTTTCCAGTTTTTTTAAGCACAGTACCAAGATTGTTTAAAGACGCAGCGACATCAACATGATTTGTACCTAACGATTGTTTTCGAATTTCTATAGCTTTTTCGTGAACCTCTATAGCTTTTTCGTAATTTCCAGTTTTTTTTAACACCAATCCAAGATTGTTTAAACACGCAGCGATATCAACATTATTCGGACCTAACGATTGGTTTTGAATTTCCAGAGCTTTTTCGTAAAATTCTATAGCTTTGTCGTAGTTTCCAGTCTTTATAAACACCCCACCAAGATTGTTTAAAGACGCAGCGACATCAACATGATTTGGACCTAACGATTGTTTTCGAATTTCCAGAGCTTTTCGTGAACTCTATAGCTTTGTCGTAGTTCCCAGTGTCATAATACACAATACCAAGATTGTTTAAAGACTGAGCAACGTCAACATGATTTTGACCTAACGCTTGTTTTCGAATTTCCAGAGCTTTTTCGTGAACCTCTTTAGCTTTGTCGTATTTTCCAGTTTTTTTAAGCACAGTACCAAGATTGTTTAAAGACGCAGCGACATCAACATGATTTGTACCCAACGATTGTTTTCGAATTTCTATAGCTTTTTCGTGAACCTCTATAGCTTTTTCGTAATTTCCAGTTTTTTTTAACACCAATCCAAGATTGTTTAAACACGCAGCGATATCAACATTATTCGGACCTAACGATTGGTTTTGAATTTCCAGAGCTTTTTCGTAAAATTCTATAGCTTTTTCGTACTTTCCAGTTTTATCGAACACCAAACCAAGATTGTGTAAAGAGGCAGCGACTCTAACATGATTTGGACCTAACAATTGCTTTCGAATTTGCAGAGCTTTTTCGTGAGCTTTTATAGTTTTGTCGTAGTTCCCAGTGTCATAATACACAATACCAAGATTGTTTAAAGACTGAGCAACGTCAACATGATTTTGACCTAACGCTTGTTTTCAATTTCCAGAGCTTTTCGTGAACCTCTATAGCTTTGTCGTAGTTTCCAGTTTTTAAACACAATACCAAGATTGTTTAAAGACGCAGCGACATCAACATGATTTGGACCTAACGATTGTTTTCGAATTTCCAGAGCTTTTCGTGAAACTCTATAGCTTTGTCGTAGTTTCCAGTTTTTAAACACAAACCAAGATTGTTTAAAGACGCAGCGACATCAACATGATTTGGACCTAACGATTGTTTTGAATTTCCAGAGCTTTTCGTAAAATTCTATAGCTTTTTCGTACTTTCCAGTTTTATCGAACACCAAACCAAGATTGTTTAAAGACGCAGCGACGTCAACATGATTTGGACCTAACAATTGCTTTCGAATTTGCAGAGCTTTTTCGTGAGCTTTTATAGTTTTGTCGTAGTTCCCAGTGTCATAATACACAATACCAAGATTGTTTAAAGACTGAGCAACGTCAACATGATTTTGACCTAACGCTTGTTTTCGAATTTCCAGAGCTTTTTCGTGAACCTCTTTAGCCTTGTCGTAGTTTCTAGTTTTTTTAAGCACATTACCAAGATTGTTTAAAGACGCAGCGACATCAACATGATTTGGACCTAATGATTGCTTTCGAATTTCCAGAGCTTTTTCGTGAACCTCTTTAGCTTTGTCGTAGTTTCCAGTTTTTTTTAACAAAGTACCAAGATTGTTGAAAGACGCAGCGACATCGACATGATTTTTGCCTAACGATTGTTTTCGAATTTCCAGAGCTTTTTCGTGAACTTCTATAGCTTTGTCGTAATTTCCAGTGTTTTTTAACACCAAACCAAGATTGTTTAAAGACGCAGCGACGTCAACATGATTTGGACCTAACACTTGTTTTCGAATTTCTAGAGCTTTTTCGTAAAACTCTATGGCTTTCTCGTAGTTTCCAGTATCATAATACACAATACCAAGATCGTTTAAAGACTGAGAAACATCAACATGATTTGGACCTAACGATTGTTTTCGAATTTCCAGAGCTTTTTCGTGAACCTCTATTGCTTTGTCGTAGTTTCCAGTTTTATTAAACACCAAACCAAGATTGTTTAATGTATCAGCAACTTCAACATGATTTGGACCTAACGATTGTTTTCGAGTTTCTAGAGCTTTTTCGTAAAACTCTATAGCTTTGTCGTACTTTCCAGTATCATAATGCACAATACCAAGACTGTATAAAGACGCAGCGACATCAACATGATTTGGACCTAACGATCGTTTTTGAATTTTCAGAGCTTTTTCGTAAAACTCTATGGCTTCGTCGTAGTTTCCAGTGTCATAATACACCAAACCAATATTGTATAAAGACTGAGCAACATCAACATGATTTGGACCTAACGATAGTTTTCGAATTTCCAGAGCTTTTTCGTGATGATTTTTAGCTTTGCTATACTTCCCGGTAACAGAGTATAAAAGACCGAGGATATTAAAATACCAAGCTTTGTCATAACTAGATTCTTCTGATTTAAATTTATCCAATACTTCAAGAGCAAGATCGTATTTTCCAAAATGTCTTAATCTGTCAACAAAATATTGGAAAACTTGTAAAGTGTTCATGTTGATTTTTGTGTTGTTGGTCTTTAATAATTGAACAATTTTTTCAAGATGTGGCATTAATTTAATTTCGTCGTCTCTCGCTTTAAGCATGTAAAGTGCTTTAGATATTTGATCAACGTTAGTTTCCATTTCATGTTCTTCATTTGAATGTTCAGACTGATAAACAATAATTGCTTTGTGAACAATGCGATGTAGACTAATGTCATTGTTTTCTGAATGCAAGAACAATGAGCAGTCCTTTAAACAAAGACATATATCTTCCTTTGAGTGTTTGGGATCAATTTCTTGGACATAAAAAACAATAAAGTCTCGTGGTATAGGATCAAACGATATCGAAGAAAAAAAGTTAATAACAATTGCCAATATTGAGGATTCTTCAGCATTTTGTCTGACAGTTAAAAGTGAAGCTTGTAACATATTTCTACGATATACCGAGTTAAATTTAACAAAAGTGGCGTCCATGTTTTCTTGTTCTTCAGAACATATTTTCTTTAAATATTGACTCCAAGTAAATGAGCAGTTTACTTTGTTTACCCGACTGACATAATCACCAGCAGCAGCCAAAGCCAGCGGTTGACGATCTAATGCGTGAGATACTTCATTCAACAATTGATCATTAGCATTTTCAATAGTGTAGTGCTTCAACAGTTGAAAACATTCCCTATCATTCATTCCACTTCTGATAGAAATATGTTTGTTAAACTCATCGTCCTGAGGTACGGCATCTGTGTTCTGGATAGTTACTATGATTTGTCCATTTCTCCACATTGGATCACCTACTTGGGGAAGCAGTGAAGAAATTTTTCTGAGCTGTACCACTTTGCCTACAATGATCAACCAATTTTGCCAGAATTTTAATCGTGTGGATACTAACGATCGCAAATTCTTCACTTTGTCTGTGATGGAACAGATTTCATTTTCACATTGTTTGATCTTATGTTTGTCACAGTTTAAACGGTATTCAAGTTCATAGTAAGTTTTTAAAAGAGATTCCTTATTTTTTCCATCTAGAGTCATTACAAACGAAGTTTTATTTTTCCAATCACGCGAAATTTTTTCACAAACCTGTCTTGCAAGTTGAGATTTACCACTGCCTGGATTACCAGAAATGTAGAAATATGTAAGTTTATCATTGTTATCATTCCTTAATTTTTCAAGATCTTTTATAATTTTATCTCGTAATTCAGTGCGTTCAACGAAAAAATGATTAGGTTTTGAAGGTAGAACATAGAACGAATTAAAACATCTTCGATGATTTTTTATTTCAATGATTTCATCGAGAGAAAATTCCAAATCTTGAAATGATTTTTCAATGGTATTGACTATTTCATCAAAATCATCATCTGAGCATTCCCTTTCATACCAATGTGCGTACTTGTTTCGTTCACAACGAAGTGCATGAACAGCATCCTTTGTTTTTGTGTCAAGATGCTTTCCAATTGAATTTGAAAAAATTATCGCGTCAAATAATATCGTACAGCCCCACTTACTGGTGTCTCCATCTTGATATTTTAACTGTAGTTCTTTATCCAACTTCCTACCCGATTCTAAAGTGCAAAATTTTTTGCCACTATTTTTGGTATCATCCCATTCTCCATCAGTTGATTTGTAACGAGAGTTCCATTGTTTAATGAAAAACTGAGCAAGTTCCTTTTCTACCACATTAATTATTTGCTGAATGTAAGACAGATTTCTTATTCCTGACAATTCCATCTCTACAAAAATTTGGTATATATCAACAAGGTAAAAATCAAGCAATTCCATAAATTCTATGCAACCCTTATCAGTTTTCATTAAAGTCTGAATTTACATGATGACGAAATCAAACTTATTTTTTAATTGATTTAACTTCGGCAAAAACGTGCTAAAATTACAAAAGAACCTGAAAACTAATAATGACAGAGAGCATATGTGCAACAGCTTTTATCAACTGCAGTATGCTGTCAAACAAACTTTAGAAAAATTTAAAAAACATGATATTTTACCTTAAAGTTTACGTTACAAAACAGACATAAAAATATATATTTCAATAATTTGTATAGCCATTTGTGAATGTCATGCATCTCTATCTAAGAAAATGTTATAATGTTGTAGCTGATGGCCTTTTTAAATTTACTAAGGTTTATGTTTATTTAATTTCATAGAGTCTAACGCATTTATTCAAACTTGATTTTATAAATATATTTGTTTTGCAACATGTTGTAACACAAGATCTTGTTTTTCTTTGGCTATATACGACAATTGATTGGCAATAGTAAAATTCTTTATCAATTTTAAGACCATGAACCACTATTATATTATGTAAAATCTGAAGCAAATAATTGACTATTTTGAATAAATTTTAATATGAAATGAGAATTTTTAATCTATGTTGATAAAATAACGCGTTTTGAGTGGATTATTTACGTAAACTCGAATGTTGAACATTGCCTTTTGGTCGTGCGTGACTTTTGTAGAACTTGCATCTATAAATACGATAAACGTTTTCAGATATAATTGTTCTGAGCTTTTACAAAGACTTTTTAGTTCGCAAAATACTATAGAGCACAATGTTCGTAACTTGTAATCCATCTCTGTGGTACGCACCGACTAAAAAGAAAACTAAGATATAGCAGATTCTAACAGTTTCGATAAGGGACAAATTAAAGATTGTTTTTGGTGATTGTGTGCTGTTGCGAACAGCATTGGCTATGTATAAAAAAGCATCATTTTGCGACGTTCTTAAGAATCATAAAAAATAAAAATTACTTTTTTCATATTTGCAAGTGTTAAACACTATGGACAAGGATGTTAAGAAGGAAGTTTTAATCTGAAAGACAAGAAGAGAAGCTGTGAAACGTCATAATGAGGATAAAAGGCAGAAAAAGGAAACAAATATTGACAATATTGTCTTTTATTTGTTTAAAAAAGAGTTGTCATTCAGAGGAAATAATAAATCAAGCTTTAGCTTGAGTAAGGACAGCTATAGAGAGCTTCCAAATTCATATGGAAATTTATGTTTTGTCTTTGTCTTCAATGCCAGACGTGACGTAAGAAACGGCTGATGCACAGATTGTGTTTTCACTGATGTATCACGGGATGTCCAGAATTATTTAATTGCCTAACTGTATTGATGAAGTTATAAAAATATTCAATATCAGATTGATGATGAAATCAGAGAGTTTCAGTTTTTTAACTATTTAATACGACGAAACTTTGCAAAATAAACCTTAGCATCAACAAAAGATATTTGCAAAGCTACAAAGATTATCTAAAGGCTGCATTTATAATCAGGAGCTATAAGATTTAAAAAGAAATATTTGATAGGGTACCTAACTTTGAGGTTTCAGTAATGAAGATATTCCTTCTCTCAGTGGTCTGTTGTTTTTTTCTACCTCTAGGAGGTGTGATTACAATCTCAAGTTAACCTCAACTTCCAACTCAGCATTTTACTTCACAGTAACTGAGTACAAACTTCTGTGCAACTTCCTAATCACAAACACTGACTCCAGTATTTAGCATATATCGAATTTCAAGATCCTTTCGCCTTTTTTATTCTGATATATCTGCTGACAGTGTATTGTTCTTCACTATTAACAATTCAACTTCTTTATTTTTATGTATACGTTGCGTTGGTTTTAAACATTGCCTGATGTTTGTATTGATTTTTGTTGCAATATATAAACATGACGAATTATTTCAGTGTTGCAGGACTGTCGACATTTCTGCACATGCACAGTTTTTTGTAAATTACTGTTTAAGTATTGTCGTATACTAAAAATGTTGTTTTTATTACAATTATTTCTGAACAGTTTTTTATTTTCATGGATTTTATAAACAAAACTCATATTTCATTACGAGGACACTTTTTTTCGGTCACCCACTGTAGATGTGTCGTATCACTATGTGTGACAACACGTCAAAAATAACATCATTTCTTTCGCGTGTTGCTAAACAAGACATGTTTAGTGCTATAATGACCAAAAGACTCTGATAAGTTTAATATCAAAACTTTCCAAAGCTTTTGGGAGTAGTTGAATTCAAAGAGCATTGATAAGTTTTAAGTTTGTATCATGAAGATTTGTTAGTTTTGTTAATATGACTATTAAGTGGGAGTGTTAAAAGGAATTAATAAGTTGTAATATTCATATCTTAGGACACGTGACACGAATGACATCACATATGTATGCTTCCTTTTACACAGATGTGCAGAAATGTTTGATAGCCTAGCTGTACTTATAAGGTTATCAAGTTGATAGGAAATCAGAGATCTTCAGTATTGTATTATTTAATGCGATGAATTTGCATACATCAACCCTAGTGTCAACAACTTAGCATCGACGAAAGACAATTGCAACGTCACAAAGATTAGCAAAATTCTTTAGCTCCATTTAAAATGTGGACTTACTAAATTGAACAAGCGATACTATAGTTTACGACAAAGATAAACACACTTGCTGATCAATATATCTACTTCTAAAACGACTTAAATATCTAAACTATTCAACAATGACATGCACGAGCATTTGCGATTTTAAAATAAATGTACTTCGTGGTGAGTCACAAATAATTAAATATTCTTTTAAAAAAAGCCTTACCTTGTTTAAGATGGCAGTGATTTGTTTTTGGTAAGCATATTGTTCTTGTTTGGAATTGTAACTTCGTTTGATTTATCTAGAATAACAGAATTTACAAACTTCCATAGGTCACATTTATACGTCGCAGTCAAGCATGAAAATTATTTGTTTTTTGTCTTAAAAACCTTTTACTGGTTAACGGCGTGTAGCCTTGAACAGTTGAACTTTTAGAAAGATTTAAAGTTCTGACAACTTAAGCATCATATATTCTTCCTTCGAGTCGATATGTGGAAATTTATTTTCTTCCACGGAATTTAAAACATCTTAAGAATAGATTGTTATGTAAAGCAAAGATACTGTTTTATGATTTTTATTGTTTTTGTTCATAAGTTTGAATATAATTTGGATCAAATTGATCAATAGAATTAAGTATAAATTTTACTAATTTATACCGTTTTTAAGATATTTTGGAAGTATGACCATAAAGTGGGAGTGTCAAAAAAATTAATAAGTTGTAATACTCATATCTGTTTTTAAATTTATTGTAACTATAATGCGATGAATTTGCATACATGAACCTTCGCAATCAAAGCTTTACGAACGACAATTGTAACGTTAAAAAGATTAGCAAATTTTTTAGCCGCATTTAATATGTCGACTTACAAACTAGTTTATCACAAAGATAACAAACTTCCTGATCAATATTTCTACTTCAAATACGACTTAAATATCTAAACTATTCAATGATCACATGCGTAAGTCCATTTGTAATTTCAAACTAAATTTTCTTCCTGATTCGTAAATGTTATTTCATACTATCACAAGTATAATGAAATAAAACATATTTTATAAATATACCGTCCGGACCCAAAGATAAATATAATTGCATGCTAGCAAGCAATTTGAATTCTATAGCAAGCAAGCACATCATAATAAACACGACTTCCTTTAGATGATAGTGATTTTTTGGTAAGCATATAGTTTGTATTTGTAACTTTGCTTGTTTGGTGTACAACTACAGGATCACAAGTTGCTACGGGTATCTATGATGTATATTTTATAGTACTAGGTTGAGATTAATATTAATTAAATTGTATTAATTATATTTGACGAACAACTTTTATTTAAGATCTAATTTATACATCGTTTAAACACACAATTCTTTGTCTTTTGTCTTACAAACCTTTTACTGGACGACGGTTGAAGCTTTGAACATTCGATCTTTCAGATTTCTTAACGTTCTGATAAGTTAAGCTTCAAATAGTTTCTTCGTTGAGTTGATACGTGGCAAATTATTTTGTGCAACTTATCACAAAACATTAAAAGTTTATTGTTATGTAAAGCAAAGATACGGCCTTATGATTTTTATTGTTTTTATTAACATGTTTGAATTTTATTACTGTTTCCTTGGTATTTCGGGAGTTTGTTTAAAAGAACTTAGCTCCATTATTAAGAATTGGTCTTATACATGAAATTTACAATATCAGATTGTGGAACTTTTGTCTCATTTGCTTGTTTAAGTTGAATAAGACAAACTAGGCGTTCGTTGGCTTAAATGTTGGGAAAAGTAAATCTCACGCCTTGATAACATAACAACACGTAATATTCTTTTAAATTGAATGAAGGAAAGCTGATATAGAATTCTTATTGTAGAAACTATAAAGATCTGTTAAGATCATGTCCGATGTTTGGCTGTATTATTTAGGTATATTTCAAGCTGTTTCTGGTAATCAGAATTGATCCGTAAGATGGCAAAAGTTAAGTCTATTAAAAGCACAATTCAAATGTCCATTGCTGTAATTGAATTAACTAATTAGTTTATAACTAGTTGATTGGCATAATTTCAACCCAAAAAGCCTCAACGTGGTCGAACTAAATTAGTCAAAAACTGTAAACTGAATGAATTTCTTTTATATATAGACATATACACCACCTCCATATTGTCCAAAAGCGTTGTTTTTATAAACAATGTTATACTCAGATATCTCAAGATTACAAGTATCATGTAAGCTTTGTTTCTGCGATGAACACTACATCTTGTTTCTTGCTTGGCAGCGAAATCGCGAATTATTTTGAGCTTTTCTTTTTAAATGTGAAGACTAAGTATATATGCAAAATGCACTTCCGGTCACCCACTAGAGATAAAAATTACTATAGAAATGTTTGGCGGATAACGTTTACAAACAAGGATTTTCGAATATTTAAGACATTTGGCGACGTTTTACTTGTCTCCAATATCTGTCATGGATAAATAAAGTTATTTAAATCAATTTGACATCAAAATTATTTCTATACCTGTAAAATATCGGCGTTGGTGTTCATTTGAAAATCGTTCGTGCAAGAATCGAATTTGCCTCATAGTTGTCAAGACAAGATAATGCACAGCTCGCTTTCCAAGTTTAGAGGCAGTTATGATCTAGAATATGTTTCAATGCTTAAAATTGTGGTAAGTACCTTTATTTTATCATTCTTTATAATCTAGAGATTGTCGTATGTTACTTTTGCCGTGACTTTATGAGTCCGGGTATATTGATGTTGGAACAAACAAATTTACTAAGCTTATATTATACTTAGTTTTCATTTCTCTTTTTATTTTATAAAGATAATATTATCACTACACCTTGCTACAGCATTTGGATATAGTATTCATCAGTACGTATGGTTGTGCTAATTGTGCTAATAAAAGTGGCATATTATGCTAGTGGCAGTGCTCGTTTTTTGCCCAAATTATGCTCAAATTATGCTCGCTTTTCAAAATTATGCTACTTTTTTAAAAAATTATTCTGTGCACAAACTTCACAACTCACAAGACAAGTTTGAAAATGTATTTTATTAACCCTGGCCAGACGTTCTGGGCTCGGTTGTTCAAAACCTGGGTAACTTTATCCGGTAGTTGGGCCTATACGGCGAATAAATCTGCTATCCAGTGGATAGTTATCCAGCGAACAAAAGTAGGTTGCACAAAGCCTGGATAGTGTGGTGGATAACTATCCGCGGATAGCTTGCTAGTTGCTAACCATCGCGTGTAACAGAGCACGACACAGTTTGCGCAAGGTTTTGCACTCAAATGGCCTCCAGTTACCATGGTAAAGTATGCAAATTTCGAGTAAACAACGAACGGTGCGCGCGCTAGCAACAACGAACTGTGCGCGCTGGGTTTCAAAACAAATAAAAACAAATACAGTGAAAACTTAACCATGCAGTTTCTGACAAAGCCCTGGATAACAAATTTAACATTGAATAATCTCGCTCGTTTCTGAACCACGCAGTCCGGCTTGACTTCTCTAATTCGTTCTCCAACAGTTAATTAGCGCTTGTTATATTGAAGCATCACACTTGCTTGCAAGTAATCTGCAAGTGCACGATCTTGTTGATCGTTGAACGAAGCTGCCAGGATACTGAATACTCTCTCTGCGGCAGCAGACGATGGTTGGACCAACAGTATTTTCTTCACTTCCATGGACCAATTTGGGAGACGGTCTGCGTGGGCCTGCCACCACTCCACCTTCTTTTTCTCTTGTTCAATGACCACATCCTGAGCAGCAGCGACGTACTGTGGAAGCTCTCTAATTAGGCCATTGATAGTTGCATCATTGTCAAGGAAAGGGAAAATCTTAGGGCTTCTATTGTGGCGGGTGTAGGCCTCATCCATTGGCAACTGGACACATGATTCTTGCAGCTTTGAAGGCCGTGACGGTGTCATAGAGCTTCACGTTAAACTTCTGCAAGAACCAAAGTATAGCTGGCTGTACACAAGCTTTTGCCTTCCGTTCTAGATCCTCGGCTCTCTGAGTAGCATCTTCGTTGGCAATTGCGGCAGCAACTGCGCGTACATTAGGAAAGTGCGGAGCTTGGCATGCCTCGGCGACAGCTTTTAACTTCTCGTAGCATGAAAACACAAGGGGCCCGTCACCTTCCAAGTAGTATGTAGCTTTGACAAAATGCACTCCTACATCAATGGTCACAGCCAACTTGAGCTTAAGATCGACAAGGCGCTGAGGATCTGAGAGTATAGCTCGAAGCTGTGCCACAATCTTTGGAGCAATGTTCTCTACTTCCGCATCATTCAGGAATCCAGCAACGTCTCCAAACTGCTCCAGTAGCTGCCTGTATACTTCCTATTTTGACCACCAGCGTGTCTCACTATACGATTTCGGCTTTCGATCGGTTAGATCCTGCCATGCCAACTTTGCTTTATGGCTGTGACTGAATAAGCGTACCCACAGGTTTCCAAACTCCAAAAGAGTAGGAATTTCCAGATGTTTGCCAACATTATCGAGCGTGTGGGAAAAGCAGACAATGTTCAACATCTTTGGGAAGATGAATGCTATCTGATCCAATGCTGCTCGATTGACACTTGCTCCATCCCTCATCGCTGCAAGCAAAGAGTTCGCCTTGATCCCAATTTCAACGCAAAGGGCTGCGTTGAGAACTCTTGCTATTTCTTCTGAATTCACCGACTTTGAGCAAATGTCAATTCTTATAAGACGCTGTGTTATCATCCACTCATCATTAATAAAGCAAAGGATTATCGCAATAGCCTCACCTTGCTTGGTGCTCCCGTCAAATATTACTGAAACGTCCCTTGTCATATCTTCTCCTGGCAAAGACAGTTCCTTCTTTATTCTCTCAACCTCTTCCTTGAAAATAAAAGAAACATACTGTCCGAGATGCGCACTATGAGTGAGGCGATACCCATTTTTCTCTAGCAAAGGACGTAGCCTGTCTACCTTCCCGATTGGAATCCCTGCTTTCAAAAATTCCTCCACTACTTTCTATCGGTATGCTTGCTCAGCCAACGGCAGCGTGTTGTCTTTACGTGTCTTCTCTCTGCTGAGTGCCTCGGCTATCGTTTGTTCTCTTAACCTTGATCTCTTCAGCGCATCTTTCCCTTTGGCATGTTTTCTTGAACTACAATGTGATGCTAAAATGCTCCTTTTGGATGATACCATTTCTCTGCAGGCATTGCAAAAGATCGTTGTGCCTCTGACACTCAGGTGCTAATCAGGGAACTGATTAATACGATCTTGCAAAAGGACATTCTTCACATTAGTGACATTACTCGTCCCCCTCTTGTATTTTCCAGTGGTGGATTCGAGGCGTTTATCCCGGGCAAGTTGTGCAGGCTTTGGTCTATCCTCTCTGTTCTCGCAACCTTGTAAACTATCTGGATGTAAGTTCACTGCACTTGACTGGTTTGGCGTGGCGGCCGCCATTTTGATACGAGCACTGGGAGAAAGACTAAGGAGTCTGGGACCGAGACACAGACTTCCGGTTCGGTTTCATCGAACTCCCGCGTTATCTCAACACAAGTAAAAAAAAATCGAAAAATAGGAGTGGAAGCAATTGTTATTAGTAATCTATCGTTTTTAGTAGCTGAGATCTTCGTTTTCTTGAATTATTCTAAAATTGTGCTATTAAGACAAGAAAATAAACGGATTATGCTAGCAGTGCTACTTTTGGAAAAAGGGCAAAAATTATGCTCAATTCCTCATATAATGCCAAAAATTATGCTAGCACAATCGGCAAGAGCCTAATGGTTGTTATTGTCATAACATGCAGGGGCGGATCTAGGGTATGTCAAATCAGTCACGCGACTGATGTTTATAGTTCAAAAATTACTTATCAAATTTAATGATTACAATTTTTTGTGATTATTGAATTCTCGATGTATAATCGTATGAATTTCATTGTCAAAATTCTGTTTTATATCTAAAATCTTACGTAAATATCACGTTTTAGCAAATCTGGAATTATATTCACTGACTGACTGATAAGCGGTGATAATTAATATTTTTTTAAATGGGCTATGTGATTATGCGATTTACAAAATGTTTTTGATTAAGAATCACGTAGTCTTAAACCTTAAAATAGTTGTACTTTCTATTGCAAATTACAGCATTTTTTAAACAGTGATATAATTTTACAAAGAGGTAATTGAATGTTTATTCATAACAATGCATGGTTGCTTTATAATACTAGTAAGTATCGTTTGTCCAATTATTGCATTCAAAACAATATGTAGTTTACAACCCACTTTTTTATCTCTTAGATTGGTTTATTAACTTTGCCTATTTCTTTAGTAAGCTTGCAATTTCAGTTAAATTATTTTTATTTAGTTGCTTAGAACATTTTCCATTTGCTGTTGTTAGCAAGTAAACTATAATGTTATACTTAAAATTTTAGGGTTATGAATAAATTAGGTATGATACATGCATGTAAAGAAGAGAATAAGTTACAAATGGTTGAGGAGACATATAAGTTACCATGACCTGTGAATGGGATTTATCAATTTTTTATTAAAACATTTTGCTAAATGTTGTGATCACCAGCACTTAGGGAGAATGGGTTGTAACATTAGGATATGTTTAAATCAATCAAAAATAAATAGAGTGACAGTTATATTTTATTATTTATTTTAGTTTATATCATAATGAAATGTAACCGGCGCAATACAAAATAAAACTGGACTACTGCTAATAAAGGATTAAGATGCAATGATGCAATGCCTAATGATGATGGCTGTAGTATGTCTGTTCAATAATGTTTTTTATAATGACCTTGAACATTCATAACCTTTACAAAATCAGCTCAAACCATTGCCAGTCCTAAACAAAGTTCTTTCTCTTTGCAAGTTGGTCTTAATGATTGTGATATTGTTGAAAATGACGGTGCAGTTTCTGGTGAAGTTGATATTTTAGATGTTTCTTTTTGCCATGGAAAAGCTGATTTTTTAGTGCATGTGAATGCAGATATTGGGGAAAGGCATTTTTCTGTTTGTTCTAACTTTGAAGATGATAGTTTAAATAATTCTTTTCAAGATGGGTTAGTTGATTGGGTGAATGAGTATTCAATTAAGCAAAATACTGTTGATGGTTTGCTTTCTCTTCCTAAGGATAATGGTCATCCAAATTTGCCTAGTTATGCTCGCACTTTGTTGCATACATCAAGATCTATTCCCATTCAGAAAAATTCTGGCATGGATTACGTGTACTTTTCTTTTGGTCAACAATTGTAAAAGCACTTTCATAAGCATCCTTGTGAAACAGTTAAGAACATTAATCATCCTGAAATCTCTTTAACTGTTGATGGACTTCCTTTGTTTAAAAGTTCTGTAAATAATGTATGGCCAGTGTTGTGTGCCATTTTGAATTTCAAACCTGTTGTAGTGTTTCCTATTGTTGTAAGATGGGGTGACTCTAAGCCAAAAGACTTGGAGTTTTTAGATGAGTTTATAGAAGATTTGAAGGGTATTCTAGAGAGTCCAAGATGGGGAAAAGGTTCGGACTGTTACAGTAAGGGGCATTGTTTGTGATGCTCCTGCAAGAGCACTTGTTAAAGGTACAAAATTTTGTACTGGTTATTTTGGTTGGGACAATTGTATACAAAAAGGAAAGTGGCTTGGTCTAGTGACTTACTCTCAAAATAATAATATACAATTACGCACTAATATTTCTTTTAGAAAGCAGATACAAGAAGAACATCATCGCTTTGTTAGCCCTTTTTGTCAATTGCCTGTTGATATTTTAAAACAATTTCCATTTGACTATCTGCATCAACTGTGTCTGGGTGTTATGGGTAAATTGATTATGGTTTGGATGAGGGGAAATCACGCTGTTAAAATGTCTGTTGCCCAATGTTAGAAAAAATTGGTGGAGCTTAGACCATTTATCCCCTCTACGTTTGTGCGAAAACCTGGGAGTTTAATGAAGGTCGACAGATTGAAAGCTACAGAATTCAGACAGTTTCTTTTGTATACAGGCAAAATTTCTTTCAGTCGTCAATGAAATCTTATCAACAATTTCTAGAAGTACTGTAGTTGCAATGCAATAGGCCATTGCTTTATATAAAGGAGTGCAGTTTTTCACACATTGCTACGTTGCATTTAAATCTAATGGGTGATTTTGCTTTTTAGATTTGCCGGTGTACAGCGAGCTGATCTCCTTTTGCAGAAAAAGGTATAAGCGCTATTATAATCTTTGTACAAGTGGACAATTTTTTGACAGAAACATGCATGTATAAAATTTCTCTTTTCATCTTACTATAATGTTGATCTAGATTTATATGACGGTGAACTAGCACCAGAAATCCAAAACACAAAGGATCATGCAATAACTTCCCCATCTACTAGTAGCACACCATCTCAGCGTAGTGGTAAGTTTTCTGTCATCAGAACTGACTAATCAGCAACTTTCATATAATATGTCGACTACAATGTTGAAATAATTTTGATTAATTCTTTTTAAATAACTTGAACATTCGTATTGTACATTTACTGTTTTTCTACGTCCATCGTTGCATTAAAGGGCTTATGTATGTTCTACAGGTGCTGTAGGCGTTGGTCCTTTAAAATATTATTGGAATTAGTTGAAAAAATGTTAGTTATAGTTACAATTACTGTTGTGTTCACCACGATTTAATTAAAATACATTCGTTCGAATCTAATTCTCAGCGTTTGCTATCAAACCACTAAATGAAACTTTCTCGAGGTTTTTATTTTAGTCACTATTCTGTTTCTGATTTTTGAAACTTGTAGTGCTTTAATTTAAATGACGATCGTGCGTTCAATAAAGATATATGTTAAACCCAGTACGTGTCTTCTCTGTAGATACAATCAACGTCTCTTCACAAGGAATTCCTACAACTGGCACAACAAGAGAAAGACAATCTCAACGAAACAGTGGTGTCTTAGGCAAGCTTTTCTTACAATTCATTATTGCATGTCTTGTTGTTACGTTTTCATTTACGTTCATTTCGTGTCGTTTGAAATGTTTTTTTTCTTCACAACTAACTGCAACACGTGATTGCTTTGCAGATGCGCATGACCTTTCATCGCACGAAACGCCTTCGACAAGTTTTATGAACATAACACCTGCAGGAAGACGTTCTCAACCAAACATTAATGGTACCTTTTCTACAGTATATAGTTTTTGAATAGCGTTGTTATTATGTATGCGTATTCAATTAGCAATTTGATGCGAGTTTTATTTGAATTTTCTTGTTAGCATGTTGTAAGGTATTATATTTTTAAGATATTACGTAGGTTATACACAAGTTTTTCTATTATTTTCTTATCTATCTTGTAGGCTTCCAAAGATCAGTTCTCATCAAACTGGAAACATTAATTGATAAGCAAGAAGAAGCGTTGTCATTATTGCGTGCTCTGTTAAGCGCTACGAAAGGTGTAGACGAGCACGAAATTTTGGAAGATGTTGTACGTAATCCCTTGGATTCGGTTAAAGAACTTGAGGATCTGTCCTCTAGTCTTGATGAAGAAAACTCCAGAAGAAAGTTGGTAAGTTTTGGAAAGTTAACCACCCATACGTATTCAGTAAGATTTATTGTCACCGTCTTTTTTTTATGCATGACTCTTTCAAGTGCTACGTAAAAGAAATGTGACAAAGGAAGGCATAGCCCTTCCCCTTTATCGGTTTGGAAACGTGAAAACGATTGCTTCATTTTCAATTACGCAACAAAATATTGACTTTTTTTCAACCATTTGTGTTTGAAGCTTGAAAACATGCACGTTTGTCAAAGTCTGAAACATAATTTTAATGACGATTTTCGTGACGTTAGGGGGTCAGATTATCTGATTAAACTATATGAATCTAGCATCGTGTTTTTCAAGAGAGCATTGTCGTGTTCTGATTGATTTAAATACGTTACGTTACTGCAAACGGCTCTTAGGAGTGTGTCGTTTTATTTGTCCTGAAAAATTCTAAGGAAGAAACAGGTCTTTCTAAAAGCTCTCACCATTCACTTTGGATGGTTTTGTTTTGCAATTCGAGATCAAAATGGTTATATATACATATGTCTAAATTGAACTTTTCCATATAATTTATCTTTTACTCTCTTTACTAGCTGCAGTTTTTGGCAGTACTGTGCGCAAACACCTGTGCAAAAGGTGTTAGAAGATATATGACAAAGCTGGGAACAAATAATCTATGGTCCCAATATAGTTTAAAAGGCAGAAAGTCAAAGCGATCATTTCAGCACCTTGCACTCTGCAAAGTTATATCAAGTAAGCACAATTAGACGATAATGATTGCTGCAGCAATACCATGTTTTATCTCTTTTTTCTCGTTCATGAATTGGAAAAACAGCCATTTATGTTGCTCCTTGTCATAAGAAATTTTGTTGCAAGTTTTAAAAGCTAATACATTAGACTGTTTTGCATATGGCACTATAATGAATTGTTGTTTATCATTCATCTTACGAAAATGATTTAGTGTTTTATTTATGTAATTTATATAATGTATGTTATTTTTGTTTCTTTTCACCTGTTAGAAGCTTGCCTCAAATCTCATAAAGGATCCAGCGAGGCCAACGTTGAAGAGCAAATTGCCGAATTTTTAAAATATGCTCCAGGCAAGTAAGGTGGTTCCAGATTTAAGGTAACATGTCATTATCATCATAGATTGCTGGGTAAAGTATATAGATGCCATTTTTTCTTTGTTAGATTTTCTCAACTTAGACAGGGAGAACTCAACTTATTTTACTCCGTAATCTCATAGTTAACATATTTGTATTTTCTTGTCTGTGTAAGTTGAGAAAAATACACAATAACATTGGCATGTGCACTTAAAGTAAGTGAGCATGTGTCTTTCATTGTCCTTCAATTATAAGTAAAGCAAAATGGAATGGACACATATACATAATGCGTACCTTTAAAAACGTTCATTTTAGTGCAGGTATTGGATTTGTGCAAGTTTTAAATTTTGTTATGTCAAACTTCATGATTAGATTTACATTTATAATATACAATTTGCTTAGCGTGATATTGAACAATTATTGAATGAAATAGTATAGGAATTAAGACTTATACCAAGTTGAGTGGTCCCCGACGTTGAGTGAACGTTCGATGAACGTTGATACAACGTTGAGACAACGTGATTTTGCTAGCTGAGAAGTCCTCCGAACAATGATCAAGGATGGGACAGTATATACTTTAATGGCGTTAGAAAACAAACACGAGACTTCTTTTGTCCATCAATCCGTCTACATCACATACTGCAATTGCAAATAGAATATGTTGCTCTTATGCAATGCTTCCATCAGCTCAACTTTTATGTCCATAAACAAGTCCCTTTTTATTGGAATATGACCAAGGTTATTGGACTATTGGACTATGGCAGTTCAAAACGTTACTATCCTGGGTATTATATCTAACTAAGATATGATTCCCACTGGTTAATCCAACAATCCTAAAGACATGCGAACTATAAATGACGATAAATCAATAATATCATGGTTAGAATAATATTCTTATTAAACTATTCACAACAGTAAAAAACCCTACAAATCCATAAAGCCATAATCAATTATTTAATTAAACTGAATGAGTAATTTAACATAGTTTTTCTTCTTTTGCAGATGAATAAAACCACGCCGCCATTGAGCAGCCAGATATCGTGTGTCAGTGTAGATAGTGATGAATGAACTACAGAGAACAAAAACAGTCTTTACCCTGTGTAAAATATATAAGAAATAAGATAACGTGTGTCAGTGTAGGTGATGATGAATGAGCAACAGAGAATGAGAACAGTTCTCACACCACCTAAAATATATAACGTCAGGACAAAACGCTTGATATTCTAGAGCAGTTAAGCTTTTTCGATCAATGTTTCATGTCATAAATTTAAAAAATAAATTTTTAGTTGCAAGTCTAATGCAAAACTATCCTCTGATGGTGTCATACTCATACTCATAATTCAATAGTGTAGGCACCTTACAGATTTACTACTACTATGTAACCATTATTAATTTCTTTGATCTCACATTTGTAAAGGAGATTAAACGGTGGAAATGTACAAAAATCATATCTTTTAGTTCTCAAAGCACCCACTGTCACGCAGCTATGGTTAGGACGCCAGAATGATCAATACATATAAATCTAACTGGGGCTAGTTGCTTCATCTACAGGAATTTACTACGCTTATCAAAAATGATATTTCCTTTAACTATGACTAACTTTATTCCATTGATTTACTGGTGTAAAATGTACTTTTTTTGCCTTCTTATAGGCATAATCAATAAAAACCAACCACAGGTTTTAGTGGTGAACACAAAAATTTTTAAGGGGTGTTATTTAATCCAAACATAGTCAAAATTCTTTCAAACCATCTACATTGCAAATGAATTATCTAAAGAGTTAATATAAAATAAGGAAACACAACACACGTAAGATGATTTATTGTAAATATTGTTCGTGCTATGAAATAAGTTGAGAAAGTAAACGCTTTAAATGTAGAAAAATTCGATTTTAATGAAACAAAATGACAAAAGTACAAAACTGTATATATGATACAGAGTTGCCAAATAAAATTTCTAATTATTCATATTCTCTGACGTCAAAAGTTCATGTATCTACATTTTTAAAGTCGGAATGTGTCGGAATAGCTCGGAGATTGTTTGTGATTGTTGAGCATACTCATAACATGACCAGAAATCACCAAAAACGATAAATAATCGATCGAAATCCAGAACAGCTGTATCAAATCACGTTGATTAGCAAAATGAATAAATTTAAAGAGCAAAAATTACAATAAACAAATATGAGGAACGAAACGAAATCAGGCTTAAAGATATTTTCCCAGCCTAACCAATGAAGGAGAGATCGACCTGAAAAATATTATGCTTTTGGGTAAATGCTTCATTCATCGATACTCGGCTCAATTTCAAGCTTTAAGTAAACTGTTAAGAGTCTATGTACCGTTTTTAACTGCTGTCAGTCGAGTCCTCGTTGTTCTTGTCAGCACAAAGACTGCTGCTTGATATCCTTTGTTTAGCTTCAAGTGGGGGTGAAAACTTTACGCTACCACCAGACAACTTAACACCGTTTTTTACCTTTATCAATGCTGGACAGTTGCAGTTTGCAATCGATTTTTGCTCTTGGTCTTGATTGAGCTGACTGACGAAAACACTCTTTCAACATCGACATTTGCATGAGGTAAGCAAAGCAAACTTTGCATGAAGTAAAACAAAGGATCAAACTTTGCATTTCCAATGCCATCGGTAATCTTTTCAAGGCAACCCCAAAATTCTTATGGTTCCATACCATCACTGTCGAAGAGTAAGGTGACATGAGAAAGCATACGCCACTGATCATCAAGTGCTTGTGATTGAGAATCGGATATAATATTTAGAAAAGCCATGGCAAGAGGAGCAAGAGAAGAAAACTTTGCACAACTCACGCCTAGATCTAAGACTTGAAGCATCTCAATGATCGGATCTCCTTTTGGAAATTGACTCTATATTTGAAAAGCAGCTTCAATGTAAAATTCTTACACACACTTAAGAAAATGTTGCACGTCTGTTGGTCGTTGCTTGTACTCATCTTTTGTCAAACAAAGGGCAATCCGAGCTCCCATATACATTTTTGGCAATGGCATGAAATTCACTTTACTGGCTGGATCGATGTCTTTTCAATGGTAACCCTTTCCAGTAGGCTTTGTTTAAGTAGCAGCTTTCTCTGTAAATAACACTCAAACCATTGTGCAGTTAGTGGACAGAAGATTTCGAACTCTGCAACATAACATTTAGCTCTGTGAACTTGGGAAGCACAAACTCCATAAAGCTAATAAAGCTGAACATACGCAATTCAGCTTCCTGAACTTTTCCATCTTTTAGGCCTGAACGACGAGCAAACATGGAATTATTTCAATTCAGGGTAGGATTAACAGGAACTTGACTTTTTCCTTGTGATGCGTGGTTTTGCTATGTTTTTTTAAGGCAGTTATAACTGCTGTGAGCTCTCTTTTAAAAACATTGCAGTACGCTTTGCTCGGATTTTTGGCAACAGGGTGAAGCCAACCCTTGAACAAAGGATCTTTTTTCCCAAGCATGACGGCATGTTTGCCCGTATTTACAAGTAGGCTTGCTTGTTGGTCTAGTGTAGACAATCTACAGAATTAAGAATGTGATCATGAATTTCAACTATTCTTTTTGTATTAGATTTAGCTATATGTTTTCCTTTGAGAGTAAATCGGCTGTACATTTTACCTTAGCTTTTTTAGGATTTGGAGCTTCACCTTTTTCATTATCATTTACGGATGACCAACCATGATCAGCATCGCTATCGCTTTCCAACATGTTCATAGCGACGTTGCTTTTTGATCCTTCGACATTTTTGTTAAATAAAAACTCAAAACAGGAGTAAGTAGCGGGAAAAACACAGCAAATTAAGTTTAGTTTAACATAATTTATGTAATATGTAAATAGTTTAACTTTTGACATAATATTATTACTTGTTACAAGAAGTAAACAATTTACTATTTTTATTACTGAATCATTGTACTTATTATTTTCTATCTTAAAGCAATGACAACACAAGGTTCATGAAATCCTACAGAGAATTTTGAAAAGTTCACAAAAAGTTCACAAATTTCTCATATTCATGAAAAGTTCATGAAGAGATTAAAAACTTCACAAATCTATGAACTTTGTTCACAATCTGGCAACACTGATATGATATGACCAAACGTACATTTGAGCCCGTGTTACAAAGTAAACATGGAAACATACTTCATAAGAATGCCACGGTATAGAGAACATAGAGCAGGGCCACTCCACTGAGTTTTTTCGTGCCACGCATATCTTATTACGCATGTGATTACCATATTGGCAGCCAGTAAATTGCATTTTATGACCAATAGGATTGACGATATGGCAAACGGTAGACAGTAAACTAATTAAATATACAGCAGCCAATTGCACAGCGAAGTGGACCTACTGTTGTATATTCCTTTACTGTGGATATGCTGACCAGAAGCAAACAAAAAAACTTATATAAACACTATTGAGTGCTTTACAACAAATACAATTTTGTATAGACAACTGAAAATTACGTGAAAGAGCTAGGAGAGTTGTTTGCAACATATTTAGCTCGGGTTGCGTTTGCCTAAGTATAAAGCTAATTTAAGATTGATAAAGAATTGAGATAGTTTCAGTGTCTAAGATAGAGAAGAAGGAGCGAGTGTATTTAGATTTTTTGTTCATTCAACAATTAACTTAATGAACATTGTATCATCTTTGATGAACGAAAGATTACTTAAACTCTCTATCGGCCAAATTAGAAGTGGCAATCCTAATACATTCAAATCAGACTCTGGTCGCTTAAATAAGGAACTTTGAGGATTTGAATGAAAAGCATCAATCATGTGATCACCATTTCCTTGAGCTATAAACATCGTTGTGATCTTCTTTTGAAATGGCCTTGTTTGTAGAGCATTGTAATCACCTAGAAATAATATCATACACAATATAAATTTTTATAATAATATGATATAAGTCTTAATAAATCCCAAGGCATACCTTTCCCTTCCATCGCCATTTATTTTTGTACATGATCAAAAAAACTAAATAGTATCGCATCTCACAAACAAACAATTGTAAGCTTTAGTCTGCTTTTTCGGTAAATTGAAAATAAAAATCTTTGGCTTTATATTCTTAATACCATGTTCAACATTATTCAACAACTTGTTCCAACTAGGCATCTAACTTGTAATCCTATCCATTCCAAAAAGCACAGCGAGTCACGTGACGTATTCTGTACTCTTAGATATTATGCCTGTGGACCAGTCAAATTACATGATCTCAATTTTAACGCAATTTTTGCCATCATCTGCATGCTACCAAAAATTTTTGGACAGCCTATTTTATATCTAAAAAAATCCATTTCCAATTTTTTAGTCAGCTTAAGTAGAAACTGTTAAAAATAGCTTTACCTTTCATGATAACAAAGAACAAAGATAAATGAGTTCCATTTCCAAAACTATCACCATTCATATAGATCTTAGCACACATCTTGTAACAATATTGAGAACTGTAGAATGATGGACTGTACATTGCTGTTTCGATACCATTAATGGCGTCCTGTCGCTTTCGATTGAAGTTACCTATTTTCAAAAATAACGTACCATTATAGCTGTGTATTACCTGATTTGATCACAATGCGCGCTCTTCACGTTGCGCTTTGAGGTTCGTAATGTTTACCATGTTTCTCAGTATAGATTTGTCTATTTGATATAAACGCTCACAAAACCGTTGTATAGTGGAAGAATCGTCACAAGCTTGTCGCTCAAGTGTTGCAATTTTTTGCGCAACAAAGAAATTTCTGGGGACAACTGGGTGTTATAACTATTGCTACCACCACGACCCTCGAGACACTCAATTCTTCTTTCCAGACCTGTAATTTTGCCATCCAACATCACAAATTTTTCAAAGTAATATGCACGAACAGCAGTGACTTCGTCAACAAGTCTTCGCAATGGAGTGGTAAACGAAGTTACCAAGCTGTATAACAAATGCCATAACATATCGCGACAAGAGGCTCACGTGATTAATTGGAGTGTCATTAATATGTTGTCTGATCTCCTTTCGTTTTAAAGTCTGTGAAGTGAGAAAAAGATACTGCCAGCACATTCTTTTAACAAAATATTTGATGCTATTTAGTGGTTATTTCATTTCAATCTTTATAAATGACTAAGACATTATGTATCATAATAAATCTTGTTTCTTAACTTATATTTTATCTATATGAAAAAAACGAGAAATTTCTTTTTTTTGGCACGTCTCAGCTTTTCGCAGTCTCCGTATACGTGTAAAGTAAAGAGTACAAAGTACGTTGATACGCAGATTGAATTATATTTACTGCAGCTTGCTTATCGGGAAAGCTCTGGCTCATTAGCTGGAATAAACCATTAAGTATCTTAATAATCATATGTTTCTGAATTTCTAAATTTCTAAATGGGTGAATTTATAAATGTGTACTTCATGTAAACCTGATGCAGCTGCATTTAACTACAAAGTCAACGTTTTTAACATTGCTTGTTTTGAATTTTAAAACTTCTAAGCATTTTTATACCATACTATCATCTCAAGGGTTTTGACGTTAAATTTTTTTATGCAAAGAACAAATGCAAGATTGTCGGTGGGAGCTACTACGCATCTACTACTGCTGACATAAAATTATAAATCAGTCCAAACATTCTTACTTTATCATGGTTGCATCCAATGGCTTGAAATTCACATTTCGTCGGCACTTCATCACAAGTCGTACTTTCATGATGTTCAATATCTTTCCTTGGTATCATTTGAATACAATACTTACAAACCACTCGATAATTTTCACACATTATTTCTTCGTGCTTCTATATGTTAAAAGAAAATAAAAGCAACATTTTTGTGCATAGATTTGCGTCGAATGATCAACAGAGGAAAGTTCCATCTGATATATAAAATAGCGTTGGAGACAGATGTTTATGCATCATAATGTGAGGTGAAAAGGTTCAATTATTTTTCCGGTTCTCATGGTAAAAATATTTTCTAGAAATATTCTGTCTTGAATATTGCTTTGTACTTAACTCAATGTTACTTTGATCAGTGAACGAATATTCCTCGTACCTTAAGTGAAGCATACGGGACATCTTTACCACAATATTCACATTTCACATTTCGATATTCACATTCATTCTTCAAATGCTCATCAAAGAGAGAGCGAGGTAACCGAATGTTACACTGCTTATGTACGCAGCTGATGAGCGCATGCTCACAAACTTGAGAATGACCCTGACAAAAAAGAAACTTTAATTAGTAAGTAATAAGGTTAGGCTTTTTTGATAAATTTCTCAGCTCAACTCACTTCCAATTCTTCATAGGCACCAAACCATTTCCACTGCTCAGAGAGACAATGTAAACGAATATTTTTCAATTCACGTTTTGTGAAATCGTCCGGGAAAGCCTACATAGGTTTTATAGAAAGTCGACACAGTTCAAAAAGTAAGTTTTACATTAGTAGATAAAGAGATGTATAGACTGGTTTCTTTCGTAATAAATGAAAGGCAAGTGAATTTTCGTTTAGAACCGTCCAAAGCAAAAATTGATACAGCTGTATGAGAATTTCCCGCTTCATAACTATGGAATATTTTCACCTACGTTTTTCTTCTTATTTTTTCTTGATCTTCGGGACATTTTGGATCAGGACCTCTGCAGATTGAGCAAATATGAAAGCATTTATCAAATGAAAAGAATAAAAAGTTGAGGGAAGGTGAAAAGACCTTAAAGGATGGTTTTCGGTTAGCTGCTGAACTTAGCCACAATGACGAAACAGAACACAACCTACATCTTTTATACAATAACTGTACTAACTTTTCTTAATGTGCCATAGGTCAAAATAATGTGTTATTTTATTCAGATTCTCACGCATGTGCTTCTGTATTGAATTGTGGCAGTCTGTCACCATGGTAGAAATATTTACAATTCAGCATGTAATCCATACATCTTTGAAAACTGATGTATTCCATGGCTGGACTACTTCCCGCCTCGTTTCTCTAAAATAAAAATTGTGATTTAAACAGAAAAATATTTACATGTGTACTAAATTAGAGTGAACAAAGTGATATCCCTGCCTTCCTGGGCTAGCTTTACACCACATCTCTTAAAATATAGCAGAGACTATTGTCTCTAGACAATTTGTGTCTAAAAACATATGTTGAAAATATGAGAAAGCATACTTCCCATTACAAAAACCTCTCGAACAAAATCCCACCATCATACATTAGCCATTAAAAGTAAGGGGTGGGGTAAATATAGCCACCCTCAATGTGTCATACAAAGTAGGGGGTGGGGTAAATATAGCCACCCTCAATGTGTCATACAAAGCAGGGGGTGAGGTAAATATAGCCACCCTCAATGTGTCATACAAAGTAGGGGTGGGGTAAATATAGCCACCCTCAATGTGTCATACAAAGCAGGGGTGAGGTAAATATAGCCACCCTCAATGTGTCATACAAAGTAGGGGTGGGGTTAAATAGCCACCCTCAATGTGTCATACAAAGTAGGAGGTGGGGTAAATATAGCCACCCTCAATGTGTCATACAAAATAGGGGTGAGGTAAATATAGCCACACTCAATGTGTCATACAAAGTAGGTGGGGTAAATATAGCCACCCTCAATGTGTCATACAAAGTAGAAGGTGAGGTAAATATAGCCACCCTCAATGTGTCATACAAAGTAGGGGGTGGGGTAAATATAGCCACCCTCAATGTGTCATACAAAGTAGGGGTGAGGTAAATATAGCCACCCTCAATGTGTCATACAAAGTAGGGTGGGGTAAATATAGCCACCCTCAATGTGTCATACAAAGTAGGGGTGGGGTAAATATAGCCACCCTCAATGTGTCATACAAAGTAGGGGGTGAGGTAAATATAGCCACCCTCAATGTGTCATACAAAGTAGGAGGTGGGGTAAATATAGCCACCCTCAATGTGTCATACAAAGTAGGAGGTGGGGTAAATATAGCCACCCTCAATGTGTCATACAAAATAGGGGTGAGGTAAATAAAGCCACCCTCAATGTGTCATACAAAGTAGGGGGTGGGGTAAATATAGCCACCCTCAATGTGTCATACAAAATAGGGGTGAGGTAAATATGGCCACCCTCAATGTGTCATACAAAGTAGGAGGTGGGGTAAATATAGCCCTCAATGTGTCATACAAAGTAGGAGGTGGGGTAAATATAGCCACCCTCAATGTGTCATACAAAATAGGGGGTGAGGTAAATATAGCCACCCTCAATGTGTCATACAAAGTAGGGGGTGGGGTAAATATAGCCACCCTCAATGTGTCATAAAAAGTAGGTCAATAAGACTTACTTCAATTAGATCAAAATGGAGAATCATGGGCACAGAGCAACAAAATATTGTGTAAGCACAATATTTTGCAGAATGGCCCATGCTATCATGTCTGCCATCTCCTACAATGACCACTGTTTTCTTCTGCTTCTTAATTGTTTCCAACATGGCCAGCTTGTATTTCCTCCAATGGATCCTGACCATTAGGAAAAGCAATTCCTGATAACGAAATATCAAATGAATATAAAAAAACACAACTTCAAACCTTGGGAATCGGAAAAATCAAAACAACCCACTTACCCTTTGATGTTTGAAGAATGTGGTCAAAGATATGCCTTGAAGACCCATGTGTGTGAATACTCAAAGTACTTTGCTAGCAGAAGCTCCAGACAATAAAATGGCAAATGAGAGGAGAAAGTTTCCCATTGCAATACGGGAACCAGGCAGGAATGATTGTCACTTCCAGTCGTACTCTCTATTTTTACAATTAAGGTTGCCACATGACATGTTTATATCAGCCATAGTACCAACTTTTGATTTTCAACTATTGACTTATCAGTACCATGATGGGCATACTTTAAACAGGAGCAACAGCTGTGGCAGGGTGACAATAAACTTTGGTTGCTTCCTGAGGTTGCTTTCTTCTTTGTTCACCCTGATTGTTAGAACAATACATGTATATATTATATTTTGTCTGTCGAGAGACTCAAATAAAATGATTGATAACACTGGAAGACTAAATAATGCATATGTACAGCAAAATCATACTTTTTTGACTGGTTTGTTTCATCTTCCGATTCTAGCTCTTTACTTTGGGAAGAATCAGTTTCAATGTCATAGTTGTCAGAACCTATGGACCATATTTATATGTTAATAAAACTTGTGGTATATAATTTCAGCTATTAGCATTGAAATCAAACTTCACCTTCATTTTCCATCTCACTGCCAATGTCAATATCCATATCCATGTTATCATCATCACTACCATCCTGCTTTTCTTCCTCATTCTGATTATCCACCTTGACACATTTTACTACTGTTCCAACCAGTTTACGTAATTTCTTTTTTTCTATGAAATCATGATATACACAGGTGTTACAATACTCATGTTTTAGTAATTTATTTGCAGTCATGTATCTATTTAAATGACATAGAGACACCACAAGAATATATGCTCTTGAAGAAACCAAATTGAATGTAATGAAACAATTTACCTTTAGTAAGTTGTTGGATAATAGCATTCTTGCTTTCTATCCTTCTCTTCAATTGCCTCATGTTTTCTTTGTATTGAACATATTGTCTGCAATATTATTCTTCAGTTTGGCAAAACCTATTCTGAACCTACAAAAAAAGATTTAATCTTTAGATCTTACAATTTACTAGTGTAAAAAGTCTTTTGAATAAATTATTGGAATAAATTCAAAACCTGTACTTCTGCTTGTACTGCAATTGTTTGAACTTGCAAGACATCATCAACAAATTCAACATCAGTATCACTGTCTTCTAAAGAGGTAGCACTTGCAGCTCCAAAAGTGTTTGACTAGAAGAGCAAGGACCTGCTTCTGTCCTAGAAGAAATATCTCTAACAACCTACAATAAAATACAATATGGTATCAACTGCAAAAATTAAATTTCCATCAAAAAATCTTTGACGAATTTAAAACAAGCTTCCTTCTTTGAAGTTATCAGTCTTACGCGGATTATATGTAGGATTCAAAACAAAAATCTTTACCTGTCTACGATTCCCTTCAGAAGGCGCACTTTCTTTCATCTGTCTTTCAGAAAGATGAACAGAAGGAAAAACAAACACACCAACTTCGACAGACACCAGTCTACTTGTTTGCCCTTGCAAACTAGTATACCGTCTGGTAAAATCTTCAGGTATGAAGTACAGCGAACAAATGCTCGACATCTTTGATATTGGGCATTTCGCTCGTTTTAAAGCGACAAAATCTAGCCTCTTTTTCCTCCTTTTCTTTTCTATAGGATCTTCTGATCCATAAAAAGGAATGCGGTGAAGTCCTATGCCCTTTTCCGGGAAAGGAACTCTAAAACAGCCAGCAACTATACAGCGATTATGCAAATCAAAGTATATATTTCACTATATTTTTAATGCACGCTTGCTGAAATGTTACTTACATGACGTCACGCTTTCCCCAAATGACCGCACAGTTCCAGTCTATCGCCGGGAAACCGAGCGACTGAAATAACCAATTTTTTATGATTTTAATTGAGTGTAGCACGAGAAGTATTTGTCCAACGAAGAAAAAAATTTGGAATATAACGTTTTACACCACGTTGATTCAGTATACAAAAAATTCCATAAGCTTTATGTGCACTTTAAGTGAACGATTTCAAGATATTAATTAGTAGGCCGTTGGCTCTAGCACGAAAATGTGGCTAGAAATCAAATTCCGTAGCCCCCATCGCGGTGCTAAAATATGTCATCGGTTATCAGTAGAGTTCAATGCGCTGATTTCAAATATCTTTGTTCCCACACGCCAAAACGCGCTGTTTTTTCATAATGCATGGCCAAAGTTTGTTATTTTCATCGGCATAGCGCCATTTTGAATTTCGCGGTATGTTTGATCTTTTGGCAATCTTACTTGAAGTAAGGGGGTGTACTCGAAAACCGTGGACATATAAACAACTTAAATGTATAAGTATATGCCACGAACCTATCTAATAACCTCTACCAACGATACGATTTTATTCATTTCAAATGTAAAACTGGTTGATTGTGATCGTGAGCGCTTGAGACAATTGGAAAATATCGCGAAAAGTGAGTAAACTTGACGAGAAACAGAATCAAATTTCAACAGTAGCATAACGTATCAAATGTTGTTTATGTTTTAATGTAATACTATTTGGTATCTAAAGATGATCTAAAGCTCAAGAGCTAGCTAAAATAGGAATTGCACAAAATAAGTATGAGGTTGTTGCGACAATTTCTCTTAAATAAATCAGTTTTTTTACATTACTTAGATTTAGTTTTCCTCCAGATCAGTATCCAGATTATAATCTGAGTCCTCTTCCCTGGATTCGTTTGGACAATTTGTGCAATCAACACATTGGCCCATTTCAGTGCACTTGTAGTTAGCTTTCATACAGGAGCACCTTAAGTTTGAACAACCAGTTCTACATTTACAGTTGCAATCTTTAAGAAGTTCATCTGGAGCACATTTGCCCGTCATCCATACCACATCAATATTATCTTCTTCATCAATCTTCCATCCATGGTAAACTGGTGAAGGTGCACCAATCTCTTGGGTTGTTGCCCTTTTCCATATTGCAGTCTGGTAGTTTGCACGCTTAATATGTTGTAAGAGACAATCCTTGTTTGGAGGCAAAGCTGCGTCTGAGAATTTACCCATCCTGAACATGTCATATCTTACCTTGTTGACAGAAGTGGAATCCTTGACCCCATATAACATGCATGTCAGTGACTCCAGGTTTTCTTGAACAGCTTCATCGACTTCAAATTCATTACCAAGTTGCACAAATGTGGTCAGACATCTTTCGTTATTGAAAACCGTTTTAAGGAAGATATCTTACTTCGACCATAAAATGAGCTAGTAGAATCACATCCTTAAAGGCAAAAAGAATAATTGATATTTAAACTTGCAAAAGTTGTTGTGTTTACGAAAACTATGTGCATTTTACTTCATACCCACTTTCGGTGAAACGTTTTAATTAAACTGAATCCCAATTATGTAAAAGATGGTTATCAAGTAAAACTTACCTGTATATGCATGGAATCCAATTAACGCTTTGCTCTTTTCTTCGCCAATCTTTTGCTGCACAAAACCAATATTGATGATACGTGTCTTCTCATTCACGCCAGTTTCTAGAAACAAATCGCATTGGATGATGTGGCAAAAGAATAGCATAAGAACGAAGACGTCTGTATCTGGGCTCTTTATTAGGACACTGTCACATGACTGAGACGCGTGATTTGCATGAAGTAGCATTCTGGTGTCAGCCTCTTCATGGTCACAAGATAATGTCGCTATTTCTTGAACGATAATGGGTCCACTATCAATTCCTGGTTTAAGGCGATGGCACTTGTCGTCATGGCAAACGTAAACCACAATACCATTAAACATCGTCGATTTGTATGTACACCACTGCTCAAATAAAAAGCGAATAAGTGCTTCTTTGTTTCCACCATGTTTGAGAAACTTGATCCATTGTGCTGGTAGTCTCTGATCAGCACCATATATATTCATAACCTCTAATCCACCACTTGCCCGTTTGCTGCGTTCTAGATTCTTAATACTCGCATCAGGATATCTGTCTACCACAAAATCGGCACGTGTTGATCTGTGATACGTTGCCAACTTGATGACCCTCAAGAACAATTGCTCTGCAAATTCTCCAAACGATGAAGGCAACTTCTTTGCAGCCTGAATGAGCGCCATTCCATCAAGGACAATTGTATTACCCTCTGGAACCTCTTCAACTGTATGATCTGGAACACTTGACTCGATTGATGCCATTAAATTACTTTTCTGAGTCTTGTGTAAGGTACCCATCTCAGTTGAGAGAGATAAAGGGAATGGACCCAAAGAGTAACAAAGTACTTCCTTCATGTCAATATTTCTACTTTGTGCTAGCAAAAGCATTCGAGCGAACAGATTGCGATTATTCTTCAAAGTAGTTTCTACACCTTTTGCTGAACTAACTTTTACTTTTTTAATCATCGAGGTAAAAGTTTTCAGTTTCAACTTTGGAATCGTTGAAAAGATATCAGGCGCATCAACTAGTAACTTATCTTTAATAAAAGTTGTCAAGCATTCTTCTCCTCGTTGTTTTGCACTTAGCAGGTCAGTCTTCACTTCAGGTGTTGCAACTAGTCCACTTGACAAGTGGATCATTTCGGCTGTGTCGCTAACAGTATCAAAAGGATTTACCATATTTTGAAGCGTGTTTACTATGTTGGAGATATCTTTCTCATGTCGAGTTTTTTGTGGAGTGTCCAGTTCTTTTCTTTTCCTATAAAATGAATGTAAAAACCAAAATTATATCCTTATGTGTTCATTTATGCAGTTGTTCAAAATCTATTCCTGAAATGTATACCTTTTACTTGGATCGGTGCCGGCCATTTTCATACATTCCCTGTGATTGCAGAACGATCGGATTGAGCTAGAATCCATCGTTGCATAGCACCTCTGTTTAATGTAATTCCGACCATTCCTGCAAAAGAAATAAATATATACTTCTTAGGCTTTCAGTACTGCATAATTTTAAATCACTTGGTCTATACCTCCTGTTGTTTTTGAATCTCTGTTTAAGGTTTGCTCAATAGTCATATCGCATGCGACAGAGGAAAATCCATAGTTCTGCTGGCGTTGCACCGTCCATTGGTGACGCAGATCTTGCAACAACGCTAAATGCATAAAAAGTGATAATAAAAACCCGTGCAGAGGATTGATACATTAGTATGTATTAATTTTATTTGTACACCATTTGATGCAACAATCTACTTCTCAACAAAATACCTACTACTGTTTTGTCTGTAACATTAAAACACTGCGGTATTATACGTATGTTACCTGGGTGTGTTTCTTGTAGTTTGGTCGTTTCAAGCCAATACGCTGTTCCGTAACGAGAATAATTCACACGATCGCATGCAAAATACCATGTTAGCATTATGCGCATTGTGGATAGATGCAGTTCCCAATTACCCTCTCGGGTAGCTCTAAAAAAGACAAAGCATTTTTTTCTACTGCAGCTGACGAGGAATTTGCTTGGAGTAAACATTTGTTAGATGTCGACCTAATGGAATAAGTAGAGGTTCTGTTTAATTATGTCAGGAAATGAGCATAGTAGATAAATAGGCTCACCTAAACTGAAGAAGAGTTCCGACCATTTCAAGGTATGTACTCCACAATGAAAACGTTGGGTTGCTTTCACTTTGCCGAACCACGAAGGCATCGTACTGGACAATAATGTCCGTGAATGGTTCCAATGAAAGTTTTTCCTGAAAATTTTGGAAACGTTTGACGCAATTTTATTAGGTTCCCCATCCAAATGAATCCACTTTTCAGAATATTCACTTATTTTATCGATTGTATGTGCCGTTAATTGACACAATTCGCCTGACTTACCATTAAAATGAATGAAACATTCATCCATTCTCTTGATTTGCTCTTTGGGACTTGCAGAATTGTTCTCAGAAAACAGTCAGAGTTAATAACGATTTAATTTAATAATTATCCTTATAAATACTTCAGCATTGCGCGTACTTCAAGTAATAATGTCAAAAGATCAAACACACCGCGGAATTTAAGATGGCGCTTAGTCGATCAAAATATCCAACTTTGGTTATACATTGTGAAAAAACAGCGCGTTTTGGCGTGTGGGAACAAAGATATTTGAAATCAGCGCATTCGACTCTACTACTTTCCGTTGAAATATTTTAGCACCGCGATGGGGGCGACGAAACGAAACATTTTCGTGCCAGAGCCAACGGCCTATAGTTCGAGTTTTTAGATCTTGTAAATCCTAATCTATTTACTACATGGAAGGGCATAGTTCCACAGGAGAAGATCAATGTTTTCAAACATAAATATAGTCCTCTTTTTAACATTCCAACGTTAGAGAGTCAACTTTCCTTCATTTACAACGACAAGGACTTTCACAAGGAGTGCAGTAATGAGGTGCTTAAATACATCTACAAATTTAATCTCCAGTCAAGTTTACGTCAAGTTGTAAATTTGTTAAAATTAATGTTGTCGTGGCAGTGGCAAGTGCTTGAGTAGAGAGGTCATTTTCTTGCTTGAAAAGGGTAAAAAGTTTTTTGAGGAATAGAATGGGTCAAGGTCGGCTAAGCTCTTTGTGTAGAATATCTATTCACAAAGATATTATTGAACAAAAAGGCGGATTTTGGTGGTCAAAACTTCCACTTTAAAAATTTTTTTCAATATTCACTCCCTCCTGATTTCTAATACTGTTTGTATGAACGAAAACAAGTGAGAAAAAAAATTATGATACCGACAGCATATCATGTGAAAATAATGCTTCAGCATTGCGTGAAAAACACAGTACAGACACACATCAAAATAAAGAAGACCGACGGTAGAGGAACGCATATTTTGTATGTAACATTTAAGTTATTTTATGACATTTTAGCCTTTTCAAAGTGAAAATCAAACGGCATTCTTTACTAGGCCTGTCAATCTCGTCAAACTTATACATTATTTCATGCTTTTGTGTGTTTGACTGTTTGTCAACAGCTTGGTGCACCTATTTTTCTTGCTTCAAATGGATAAATCTGTGTAAAAATGCTCCTAAGGAAGCGAGAAAATGTTTGCTTCAGTCCTACGACATAAGTCAACTAAAAATTTACCATGGTTAAGTATCATAAGTGTATTGTCATTACCTGATAAATCTACTGAAACTCATAAAGAAAGTATGTTGAACTAGAAGAGCTACAAAAAAGAAAAAAATTCAAAACACCATGACACTGTTGCTTGGTAATTTGTATTTTGTAAACAGCTTGGCAGAATCTTGGATCTATTACTGAACAGAACTACATTAATTTTCCATTGAAATTACAAACTTGGAAACTAAAGTGCATTGGTTTCTCTGACAAAAACACTGTCTATTGCTGCATGAAGGCAAAATAGTTATTTGACAGTGTAGGTGAAGAAATTTATCAAGTTCTATAGATATTATTGCGAATCACTTACAGTTTTTTCGAATTGTGTAATATATGTCATGAGCAAGATATAATTTTTCAAAAATGCTAACCCCTTCGAGCACTACTACTCTTCTGTTTTGCTTAAACAACTTACAGCTACCAATACTAATTATTTATATGTACAAACTAACATTTGGGAATTAAATGATAAACCACTTGTTAAATCTTTGTATTTTACATCAAGCCTTTGAATTAGTTCCTTTTATCTCCTGGTAAAAAAATATTAATGAAAGACTTACAAATCAAGTTTCTCGAAAATAGTATTTTGTACAAAGAAACTAAATAATTGGATAGGTCACATGTTGAAGACAGACTTTGCTTCTTTGACTAGGTTGCTTGACCATGAGCAAATTTAAATTTGTTTACAATTTGTTTAAAGAGTTCTTTTTATTGATTTCTACTAATTCTTCATAAGACACAAAAAATTTCTTTGCCATCTATTTTTGCATATTAATGATATAATCATAAGCTACTGTTGAACAAAAATTTCAAGGTAGAAACAAATTTTAGCACATTGTTCAACACACTACTTTTATCTTGGTTTTGAAGTAGTAACCTGTTTATTATAACAATAAATATTTCATTTACAGAAACGCTAAGTAGTACTTTAAAATTGTTTGCATAAATCCAACTTTCCAATCCCATTATAATTGTCTACACTATACAGTCAGTCAAATTGAGCAGGCAACCAGTTTAATAGTTATTTTTATTATACAACATATACCATAGTTCTCATAAAATTTGCATGGCACTGCATTCAATTTCAACACAACTCTGTTGTAAACTTTCCCTTCATCTTTTCAAAAAAAACATGAACAAATTATGCCCCATTTTTGGGAGGTAAACTCAATTCAAATCAGGAGAGTTTAGCTTGATGCCTTGATCATGATACAAGATGGATGCAAAACTCGATAAAAATTGACAGCTTCGACACGTCTGGCGAGCGATTAAGTGAAGAACAAACAAGACTGGACCAAAATAACTTTAAATTAAAACTTAGTAGTAGAAACACTCTTCAAGTATCGTGTTAAAAACAAAATAGTAAAACTAATACTGTGCTACTTACCGGAGTCATGAAATGTTTCCTTTTCTGTCGCTATTTCAGCGTCCGCAAACCACAGAAGTTGGCAATTTAATAAATAAATTTTAAAAAAGTGTTTATGTTAGGAAAATAAAAAGTTTTGATATTTTCTATACTCGAAATTGCGGTGGTCAAATCAGGGTGGGCGACATAAATTTTATTTCATGAGCCCGCGTCTCTCCGCTGACTTTGACCACCAAAATCCGCCATGTTTTTGACCACGCGGCCGCGCGCTAATAATTTATACTAATTTTGTTGACTTTTCCCCTCCAGTTATTATAGAACTCAATGGGCGGAACATACAATATAATTCTATATAAGAAGTTTTGAATTCTGGTTGGCCAAGGGACTTGACGCATGCTCAAATCTGCTGTTTTTATAGTCGAACTCCCGCTATTTTAAATTGGCGGAGGTTGTAATTATTCGACCTTTTAATACGAGTACAGCGATTAGTGATTATCAAATTACGTGTCATTGTCGGTATTAATTTTCCATTGTGTTTACTCTCAAATTGCTATTTTGTATTTGTGTATGACACAATGGCTTCAAGTGCGACTGCGATTTGCTCAACTGATGTTGATTTAGTAAATAGCTTATTAGCTAAACCGTTCTCTGCTCGATCGTCGGTCGAACAGAATGTTATCGTTCATGAACGGCCTACTCCTTATTTAACTATCCAAAATAAGGGAAGAGCATTTCAGAGAGATTGGTATGAGGCGAAGGACTGGCTGTGTGGCAGTACAACCTTGCAGAAAGTGTTTTGTTGGCCATGTCTAATGTTTTCCCCAAAAACATCGCCATCGTGGACTAAGAATGGCTACAACGATATGCGGAGTATTATGTCTGATGCTAAGAAGCATGAAAAATCTAAATCGCATTTGACTGCATTTAAGACATGGAAAACGTATGGAGCTAGTGAACGAATTGATTGTCTTATGTCCCTCGCTAGAAGAAATGAGATTCAGCGTCACAATGAGGAGGTAAGACAAAATCGAGAAATTTTAAAAACTGTTACTGAGGCCGTGCTGTATTTGTCAAAGCAAGAGTTGCCATTTAGAGGTCACAATGAGTCCGAAGGTAGCTTGAACAAAGGCAATTATAGAGAGTTGCTCGAATGTTTTGCTAAGTTTGATTCTGTATTTGAGCGTCGATTGCACAGTAGACTAGCAGAATCTGATATAGTTGGTGACAGAAGATTTACTGGAGTCTCCCCAGAAATTCAAAATGGTCTTATCAGATGTCTTGATTCAATTATTGAAGATGAAATCAGAAAGGAAATAAATGATTGCACATTTATGAGTATTCAGGTTGATGAAGCATCTGATGTCTCCACCAAAGAGCAGCTAAGTATTATTGCTCGGTTTGACAAAGCAAGTGAAATTATGGAGAGGCAATTAGGATTTGTGGATGTAAGTATGAACAGGAATGCCACAGCAATATCACAAGTTGTCAAAGATAAACTTGGTGATTATTCTAATATAAAAGAAAAACTGGTTTTACAAACATATGATGGTGCTTCTGTCATGTCTGGCCATATCAATGGTGTTCAAGCATTGGTTCGACAAGAGTATCCTTTTGCTCATTTTGTTCAATGTGCAGCTCATAGATTGAACCTGGTCCTATGCCAGTCGG